AAGAGAGGACAAAGGGACTGTCTCTTTATGAGATAGTTTCCAGGTGTATGTTACTTTTCTAAGATAAGTCTGCCTTCTGGGATCCGATTGTGAACAGAATGTGAGTGAGTAAACTCTTTTTATACTTCCATAGAAGACTGTGTCATGTCTTATCTTTTATGAGGGAATAAGGGGGAAATACCAGAACAGTTATTATAGAGGCTTTAGCGAGCGTGAGCAAACGCATCCACTGCAAGTTTAAAAGGGGAATGTTACTCCGCTAAGTTGTGAACTTGTTAACACGAGTTGGAAAGGTTATTATCAGACAATATATCCTCTCCTGCATCCCTGAACATTCCCACAATTCACTCGCCCACTGTAGGGAGAGAGTAAAATTACCAAGGCATGAGAAAAGAAAAACTAGGCTGTCTTCTTCCTGTGCCTTCAGCAGAGCTTTGAGAGCTCAGTGGTGAAGCTTTTCCCAGCATGGAGCTAAAGTTTGCCATCTTCCAGTTGCTCAATGCACTTGCATCAGCTGCAGTGAGAAGTGGCAGGCATACAGTCTGCTTCAAAAATTGGCAAAATGTACCGCAAGGGAAATTTCCACATACAGGCAGGCGTTGACAGTGATATCAGGTGAGTATCTCCCCATAGGAGGAGGAGCTGGGCTGAGACGAAATGGAAAACACCGGTGACACAGCACTCTTTTGTTGTTGCCAACTCCTGATGAGCATGTAAAGACGGGAGCTGTCTGTTGCAATGATTTCCTGTATGTTTATCATGTCTCCAAAAGCACCAGGAGGCTTGGCTATGTGCACCATCCCCACAGAAGCCTGACTGCAGTAACCAGTGGCAAGCCAGCTGACCTCCTGTGCGGCTCCCATCTTTATCTCCTAGCACTGGGATGTGGAACCTGAAGCTCTCCAGAAGTTTCTGCACTACAACCCCCCCCCCAGTCATCCCTGGCTGCTGACCATACTGGCTGGGGCTGAGATGGTTGCTGGGAGTCCAGTAACGTCAGGTTCCCCATCCCTGTTCTAGCAAGCTTCTGATGTCTCTGAAAGCAATTACATCAGCCTGCCTCACGTTGCCCAATGGAAGGGCTGGCTCTGCTCACACTGATGGGACCTTGAAGCACCTGCCTTATTTCCTATCACAGTGGGGGGTTTTCCCCTCAGGTAATTCATGAGCTCACCTCCTGTGAGCCTGATGTTAGAGCTTCATTCTTTCTTATTATTAGTATTAGTATTTTATTATTTATACCCAGCCCATCTGGCTGGGTTTCCCAGGTGGGTGCCTTTCATTGCAAAAAGCCTATCCCTGTTCTGTGCTCTTTTGAAGAGACATACAATCGTAGCGTTGGAAGGGACCTCAACGGTCATCTAGTCCAACCCTCTGCAATGCAGGAATATCCGTTCGAGCTTCCATGACAGATGGCCATCCAACCTCTGAGGAAGGAGAGTCCACCACATCTTGTGGGAGTCTGTTCCACTGTCTAACAGCTCTTACTGTCAGAAAGTTTTTCCGTATGTTTAGTTGGAATCTTCTTTCTTGGAACTTGAAGCCATGGGTTCGAGTCCTACCCTCCAGAGCAGGACAAAACAAGCTTAGTCCCTCTTCCATGTGACAGCCCTTGAGATATTTGAAGATGGCTCTCATATCTCCTCTCAGCCTCCTCTTTTCCAGGCTAAACATCCTCAGCTCCTTCAACCATTCCTCATCAGGTTTGGTTTCCAGACCCTTGATCATCTTGGCTGCCCTCCTCTGCACACCTTCCAGCTTGTCAACATCTGTCTTAAATTGTGGTGCCCAGAACTGGACACAGTATTCCAGTCCTTACCCTGTCACCATTAAGGATCACTTTGTAAAGTCATGTGACTTGTTGAAAAGCACGTTTAAACTGGCAGGTGTAAAGGCTGTGTACAATTAAAGCACACTTCTTCCCGCAGAGAAGACTGGGAACTGTAATTTACCACTCAGAGAGCTACAATTCCCAGCAGCCTAAATGAACTATAGGATTGTTTCATGGGCGTCATGTGCTTTAAATGTAGGGTGTGTAGCTGTTTAAGTCTGAAGAAAAAGCACCTGTGAGTCCACATGCCAGTTTCCTTCTTTAAAAAACCATATTCTTGCCCTTATAGCTGTTTTTATTGTAGGGGTGCCACAGCAGTGGAGAATTCTACCTGTGATACTACTGAGTGAAGCGCTGCCAGCTTCCAGTTTCTATATGAGTTTCCCTAGGGCAGGCATGGACAAGTAGAGCGGAGGACAAGTACAAGTATATTCAGAGCTGATGAAATGGCTGGGCCAAAGCTGAAACGCCGCTCAGTTGTGGATATGCCTGGAAGCGAAAGGAAAGGAAATTCTTTACAATGCTGTAAAGAAAAATATTGCATAGGAACCTGGAATGTAAGATCCATGTACAATGGTAAGCTGGATGTGGTCAAAAATGAGATGGCAAGAATAAATATCGACATCCTGGGCGTCAGTGAACTAAAATGGACGGGAATGGGTGAATTCAGTTCTGATGACCATCATATCTACTACTGTGGGCAAGAAATAGAGTGGCCCTCATAGTCAACAAAAGAGTGGCAAAAGCCATACTGGGATGCAATCTCAAAAATGATAGAATGATCTCTATGAATCCAATGCAGACCTTTTAACGTCACAGTAATCCAAGTTTATGCACCAACTACCGGTGCTGAAGAAACTGAAATTGACCGATTCTATGAAGACTTACAACACCTTCTAGAAATGACACCAAAGAAGGATGTTCTTCTCATTATAGGGGATTGGAATGCTAAAGTAGGAAGTCAAGAGATAAAAGGAATAACTGGCAAGTTTGGCCTTGGAGTTCAAAACGAAGCAGGGCAAAGGCTAATAGAGTTCTGCCCAGAGAACAAGCTGGTCATCACAAACACTCTTTTCCAACAACACAAGAGACAACTCTACACATGGACATCACCAGATGGACAGCATCGAAATCAGATTGATTATATTCTCTGCAGCCAAAGATGGAGAAGCTCTATACAGTCAGCAAAAACAAGACCTGGAGCTGACTGTGGCTCAGATCATCAGCTTCTTGTAGCAAGATTCAAGCTTAAACCGAAAAAAAGTAGGAAAAACCACTGGGCTGGTAAGATAAAATCTAAATCAAATCCCTTATGAATACACATTAGAAGTGAGGAACAGGTTTAAGGATTTAGATTTGGTGGACAGAGTGCCTGAAGAACTATGGATGGAGGCTCGTAACATTATAGAGGAGGCAGCAATGAAAACCATCCCAATGAAAAGGAAATGCAAGAAAGCAAAGTGGCTGTCCAACGAGGCCTTGACAGCATCTTAAAAAACAGAGACATCACCTTGCTAACAAAGGTCCGTATAGTTCAAGCTATGGTTTCCCCAGTAGTGATGTATGGAAGTGAGAGCTGGACCATAAAGAAGGCTGATCGCCGAAGAATTGATACTTTTGAATTCTGGTGCTGGAGGAGACTCTTGAGAGTCCCATGGGCTGCAAGAAGATCCAACCTCTCCATTCTGAAGGAAATCAGCCCTGAGTGCTCACTGGAAGGACAGATCCTGAAGCTGAGGCTCCAATACTTTGGCCACCTCATGAGAAGAGAAGACTCCCTGGAAAAGTCCCTGATGTTGGGAAAGATGGAGGGCACAAGAAGGGGACGACCGAGGACGAGATGGTTGGACAGTGTTCTTGAAGCTAAGAGCATGAGTTTGACCAAACTGCGGGAGGCAGTGAAAGACAGGAGTGCCTGGCGTGCTCTGGTCCATGGGGTCACGAAGAGTCGGACACGACTAAACGACTAAACAACAACAACAGGGCAGGCATAGGCAAACTCGGCCCTCCAGATGTTTTGAGACTACAACTCCCATCATCCCTGACCACTGGTCCTGGTAGCTAGGGATGATGGGAGTTGTAGTCCAAAAACATCTGGAGGGGCGAGTTTGCCTATGCCTGCCCTAGGGCAGGAGCAGCCAACATGGTGCCTTTCAGATATTCCAGCGATGGGGCACCTGTCGTCCTCCAGATGTTCTTGGACTACAACTCCCATCATCCCTGACTATGGACCAGCCCATCTGGAACTGATGGGAGCTGTAGGCCTCAACCTCTGGAAGGCAATTCCCAGTAAACTGGCTGAGAAAACAAATGCATGAGACAAAATCAGATAAGTTAGAGCAGGGGTAAGCAAACCTTTCCAGCCGGTCCACTGTCCCTCAGACCTTGTGGGGGATCAGACTGGGATCAGACTATATTTTTTTTGGGGGGGGAGAACAAATTCCTATTCACCACAAATAACCCAGAGATGCATTTTAAATAAAAGCACACATTTTACTCATGTAAAAACACGCTGATTCCTGGACTGTCTGCGGGCTGGATTTAGAAGGTGATTGGGCCGGATCCAGCCCCCGGGGCCTTAGTTTGCCTACCCATGAGATAGCACCTTCTCACCACCACCACCAGTGTCAGAAAACACAGGCTTACTTGAGTGAAGCATCAGGTTTGTAAATAAACACAAAGAAACAGAATGGCAAGACAGGCCTGCAACCAAATATTGCAGTATGGAGTACTCCTGAATAGAATGTTTCATTCTGTTCCTTGTCTCCCCTCCTTTTCTGTCATTTGCCTTCCCCTTCTGTGGCCAACTGAGAACAGCTCTTGGGGCTATTTTTATTTATGCATTTCTGCACACCTCGGGATTTGCTGATACTTCCGCCATTTTTGTGTGGGTAGTACTGTTTTGGCTGCTTAAACAACAGCACTCTGAACACTGGAAACAGAAGGAATGATTCTGCCCCATCTTATGGGCAAAGGCAGCAGCTCTGAGTAAAAAGCCAAAGTCCCCGTCTGTTGTCCTGGAAGAAGATGGAGTTCAGAGAGCACAGCTTTTGCTGCAGCCCTAACAAAAGAGTCAACTGTATATTTATAGGAGTCTAGAAACTGACTGCTCAGCACAAGTCAGTTTCTGGGAGTGAATCTGTAGCATATGACAGGACAAGTCTAGGCTTGTTCTGAGAGGGTTCCCTGTTACGGAACATACTAAATGGAGGCAAGTCTAGGCTTGTCTAGCGAATACATATTCTCTGTCTGGAGTGAAACAGATGACAAGGAGCTTTGCCACTTACAAATGGTTCAGAGGCTTCAAACGCAGGTGACATCTCCCAAAGAATTCTGGGGATTTTAGTGGACCCTTCACAAAGAGCTACAACGCCAGGTGAGCACCCTTAACAAACTTCAGTTCCCAGGATCCTCTGGGGGAAATCGTGTACTCCAAACATATGGCGCATACGCAGCCAGGTTTGCAGAGAAAGTGGGGTGTCGCAGGAGTCAGAAAGTAGAGGAGGGAGGGAAAGAAAAGAAAAGACGAGTCTGAGGGCACACATCTTGCCCAGGTCTTTTTTTGGAAACAGGATACTTTCTTCACGGGTTCCCTCCCCGCGCCCCAACCACCATCAAATCACAGAGCACGTCTCTCTCCATCGCCCTGAACCGGTCTTGCGCTGCCCAGCCGGGCAATGGTGCAAAAGCATAGATCCAAGTCCTTGTGGGTCCCCATATATATTTTTTAACAAACTGTCTCCTCAAAACCACCATCAAGTCACCGGTCACCCGCTACGGCCAGAGATGGGTTGTGCGCTTTGCAGCCATGCTGCGTAAAAATCCTACCTCCGATCAGTCTTTTTGTGGTGCTTGCCAGCAGCGGATCTTTGAATTATTATTATTTTTTGTTATTAATGTAAATCAACTTGCTTCTGACTTTTGGGGCGGCGGGGTGTAAAATCAGAGGGATTCAACATCACAGCAAACGTTTTGCCAGACCCTTGCGGAAAAGCAAACAATGACTGCATAAAAACTATACATTTAGAGCACATCCTTTCCCACAACGTATCCCGGGAACTGCAGTTTGTTAAGGGTGCTGGGAATTGTAGCTTTGCGGGGGGCAAACTACAATGTGATGCGTGCACAGCTAATATGTGTGTGTGTGAGAGAGAGGTGTTCCTATGAAGACTTTCTTGTATGTTTGTATGTGAGGAATGCGAGAACGGGATGTGGGGGGAGGAGAGAGAGGCCACGGGGGGGGGGGAGCGACGATGCTGCACAGAGCAACAGAGCACTCTCAAAATGCCAGATGCGCCCACAGCTTGGCGACCCTCTGGACTGTGCATGCAGAAAAGCAGCACCTCAGGGTGGCAGGCTTTATGCTAGCTTGCTACAGGCGAGGACTTCTTCCCAGAGAGCTCTTAAGGGGGAGCGGATGCACATACGGGTCGAAAGTCCAGCTGCAGTTCTCGGAGTGACCCACTTTTGATGGGGAAGTTCCTGCACATTCGCCTCCGCTGTCCCGGTCCTAGGCTTGTTCCTCAGCGCGACGTCGGGCCGCCGAGAGAGGGAGCCAGCGGGCCTGGATAGAGACCTGCGGATCCGTGGGAAAGGAGGAAGGGAGACGCAACCCAGCGCAGGAAAAGAGTGGACTGGACGGCTCCGCCCGCCGGGGAAGGTCTGCTCGAAGGGCGTCCGCGCCGTCGGGAAGCGGGCAACGTCGACCGAGAACCGAGTCCTGGTCACAGGCGAAGGAGGGGAGATCGCTGCTGCGTCCTTGCGCGGACGCCGGGAGGGATCCCTCTGATGATTTGACGGATCCTCTGAGCGAGCCCGGCAGCAGGGCACCAAGGGGCCGGCTGCATAGATGCCCTACTGACAACCCGTGAGGTCTTCGGCTTCGTGGGATGGATCCTGCCCCCGGCTCGGACATGGATGGAGGGGGCGGCCGCGGCGAGGCGGATGAGCTGGCCAACGCCGCTGCCCGGGGAGACCTGGAGACCTTGAGGCGGCTGCTGGATGGTGGGGCGGACCCCAACGCGGTGAATCGCTTCGGCAGGGCCCCGATCCAGGTAGGTCCGTCCGGGGACAGTAGGAGGAAGGCCGGAGAGCCATAGATAGGAGGGTGAGAGACTGCGGGGGGGGGGGGAGTAGCCAGGATTTAAGTTGGGGTGCGGGCAGGACACCCACCTGTCGCCATTCTCTGTCGACCAAATTCGGAATGAAATGTCTCCACACCAATTGACTTGCTTTTCACTCTAAGTGGCCAGGAAATAAATGGTCAAAACTTTTCAAATATTCTGATCATTTCTACTTTAAGTTAAGTATTTTTTATTATTATTTGATTTAGGTCAGGGCGGCTGACCCCCTGATCCCGCCCATGGCTGAAATTTTAAACGTGAGGTTTAGAGGTGCGGAGTATGAGTACCACTCGGGGGCTAAACTAGATTTATTGGGGGCTTTGCGGAGAGGGGCTTATTTTGGGGAGGGGGTTAGTTTTAACAACCCATAGTCAACCCGTGTCCAGTGAGAGTCAGATCCTAGTAGCTGTTCATTCCTAGCTATGCGCACGCCATACATTTAACGCGCATCCATCCCTCTCAAAGAAACTTGGGAACTGTAGTTTAAGGGTGCTGAGGACCCCGCATAGTACCGTGGTTAGAGTGCTGGACTTGGACCTTGGAGTCCAGGGTTCAAATCTTCACTCAGCCCTGAAGCTCACTCGTAGTGACCTTGGAGTTAGTCACTGCCTTCTGTCGACCTAACCTACCTCACAGAGTCCTTGTGAAGATTAAACAAGGAGGGGCAGAACCACAGAGGCCGTTTGAACTCCTTGGAGGAAAAAGGTGGGATTTAGCTGCAGTAAATAAATACACAAACTGAAGCTCTGGGAGGGGGTGAATTAAGGTTCCCAGGATTTGGAAGGGGTATGTGTGCTTTGAACTGTATGGCGTGCACGCAGTAACCCAGGTGTGCTTTAAAATCACCTTCCTGGAAGTAGAAGGCTTATGCAGGGCCCTGATCCAAAACACGCTTGCTCGGAAGTCCCCTCGATGGCACTGGAATTTACCTTCCTAGGCTCAGCCAACGATGCAACCTACAAATTTGGCCCGTTCGAAAACACAGGACTGATCATCCCCTCACCCAAAAAATAACCACACCCAAACTCAGGTGGAAGAGGAGGAGTCAAACCAGATTACACCCAGATCCGAAATACAGCAATTAATCACAGTTTGTGAGTGCTGCTGACTGACCTAGCGAGCGAGCAGCCTGTTTAAAATTGGGGGGGCGGCGGGATTTAACGTCCACCCTTTTAACGTCCATCAGTGGCAAATGGATCAATGAAAAGTTAGAAAAGTTGTTCGGATGAACCCTAAACGCTGGAGGATTGGCTTCGAGCCACCCCCAAGTTTGGGTCCATGTTGCGCAGCTTGCCCTGTCCGAGGAAACTAAAAATAAATAAAATAAAATAGAAAGGTGAACAAAATGATTGGAGAATAAAATTATTGGAGCAATCGCTGTCCCAGGTTCGGACTCTCATCCCCGCGCCCACCGCCAAACAACAACAACCACAGTGTTGTCTTTGGAAAATACTATATTTAAATAAGGTTCTTGTTTCAGTTTATGTTTACGTAACAGAAGTACAGTGGTACCTGTGGTTAAGAACTTAATTCGTTCTGGAGGTCTGTTCTTAACCTGAAACTGTTCTTAACCTGAAGCACCACTTTAGCTAATGGGGCCTCCTGCTGCCGCTGCACGATTTCTGTTCTCATCCTGAAGCAAAGTTCTTAACCAGAGGTAATATTTCTGAGTTAGAGGAGTCTGTAACCTGAAGCGTATGTAACCCGAGGTACCACTGTACTGTATAGAACAGATCCCCACTTCGGAAACAGATTTCAATACCAAATATCAACATTTCAAGTGAGGAGAACCAGCCCTCTAATAATACATTCAGTTACCAGAATGTGTCCTGTTTTATTCTCAAAACGATTTGAGACCCTCCCAAAGTCCGTCTTCTCAGCCTTATAAAACGCAACCATTTAAAACACATGACATCCCCCCCCCCGCCCAAGAATCCTGAGATGTGTGGTTTACCCCTCACACGAAACTACAGACTGGGGGTGGGGGGTGGGCTGGAGTCGTGTGTTTCAAATATATGGTGTCTGCCTAGATTGAGGAGAGAGAATGAAAAATCACTGCAACCCCGAAATGACTGGAGACATTAGACTAAAATCTAGAATTAATCATCAACCATATACATATTCATCTCACTCTTATTCATAAGCTGTCAACTTTTCCCCTTTTTTCAGGGAAATTCCCTTATTCCGAATAGGATTCCTCGCAAGCAAAGGGAAAAGATGACAGCTATACTCTTATTTAACCTCATTGGGGTTTCTTTATTTTTCACAATGGGAAAAGTTGTTTTTAAAAGTCACGTGGGGGTCACACATCTCTCGAAAACTACCTCCCCTTTTCTGTTCTGGGTTTTATTCTAACTTTTTGATTCCGTAGCTGGAGATCGAGAAATCCAGCTCAGATTTCAACCGACGGCGGCAACTCATCTTCACTGACCGATTAATTTAAAGTTCTCTGCATGAACACACACGAAAGCTCACACCAATAACTAAATTAGTTGGTCTCTAAGGTGCTACTGGAAGGAATTGTTTTGTTTTGTTTCGACTACGGCAGACCAACACGGCTACCTACCTGCATGAAAAAAGCTAGCGAAACAGAGAAAAGACTTCGGGTATGAAATGCTATTCGTGTCCCATTGAGGTTAACAGAAGGCTAGCGCTCATGTAAAGTGAGTATTACATGCAATCATGAGAGCCAACTCCTAGGGGCCGAGGTCCCTTCGGGCCCCCACCCCCATAAAATATTGAGGGGCCCAGGCTGCCATGGACGTAGCCAGGGGGAGGCAGGGAGGGGCCAATTAAGTAAATAAATAAAAATACTTAACTGACCAATTGTGTCACAGATAACTGGGTTCTGCCCCCCCACCCAATAAATCGTGGCTACGCCCATGGACGACCCCCCCCCCCAAGTTGAGGGGAATTCTCATTCAAATGGTGTGTGTGTCACATCATGTGATCGATTATGCGGGGCAGGGCTTAGTTGCCCCCTCCCCAATATTTTAATCAAGTTGCCCCCCCCCCGCGATTCTAACCGCATTAACCTGGGAGTAAGCCCCGCGCTGGATTTTGTAAGGCTCCCTTCCAGCCTTGCATGTTTTTTAAACTGAGATTTGCAAGCTCATCTTCGGCAACCTTTGTTGCCCCCAAACCTCCAACGTTTTTAAGCTCAATGGAGCTTACTTTCGAGCGATCGCGGATTATACGTTCGCGCTCTTAGGCAGCTGCACTTTATCGTAACTCTTTGATTTTATCAGCGCGCGAAATCAAGCAGAAAACGGAATTGTCAAGCAGAAAACGGGCATGACATTTCGAAGCAGAGAGAGGCAAAAAGAGGACCAGAGATATCAGTACAGTATAGTGGTACCTCGGGTTACATATGCTTCAGGTTACATACGCGTCAGGTTATAGACTCCGCTAACCCAGAAATAGTGCTTCAGGTTAAGAATTTTGCTTCAGGATGAGAACAGAAATCGTGCTCTGGCGGCGCGGCGGCTGCAGGAGGCCCCATTAGCTAAAGTGGTGCTTCAGGTTAAGAACAGTTTCAGGTTAAGTACAGACCTCCGGAACGAATTAAGTACTTAACCCGAGGTACACTGTACTATATTCCAGATTTGGGTATAGGTAATTAGAATTACAATAAGTCTGTTTTAAAATAAAAACACAACCCGCACGGATATCCCTTCTTTTACAGCGGAGTGAGCAATAGGTCGTGTTTTTTCATTTTAAAAACAAATGCGTTGTTTTTAAAATGGTGCCGATTTAGCACAATCAGGCGCTTAACTCCTTCCAAGAACCTGCACCTCTCAGCATCCTAACCTTTGGCCATGCTGGAATTCCAACGTCTGAAGGGCCACACATTCCACATCCTTGGTTTAAACTGCATCATCCCTAGCTAACAGGACCAGTGGTCAGTGATGCTGGGAATTGTAGTCCCAAACACCTTGAGGGCCGGAGTTTGCCTATGCCTGGTTTAAAGCTTCTGCTGTGACGCGTCTTCACTTTTCCTCCTCGCGTCTATAGTTTGATCCGGCTTCCGGGAAGAAAAGTGAATTCTGGTAGACTTTTATTTCACTGCGCCTCTTTTAGAAATGATACCTTTGTTACTAATGCCAGTCAGTCATTGTATTAAACTGAAGTGGGGCGGCCCACATTTCTTTGATGGTGCTAGCCCGACTGAATGAAAAAGGGCAGCTTTCATGTTCCCAATTGTAGCAGCTCGTTCGCTCTCCAAATCACAACCACGCACCAGTTGTTGCATTGCGTTTGTGAATCGATTTACTCTACCTACTCCGCCTAAGCTGGGCTGTGAACAGAGAGCAACGCGGAAGGATGCACAAATTAAATTAAATTAATACTGCTTTTTAGTCCTTTTAGGGTCTGAGGCAAAATGGTTCGTCAAGCAGAGGTTTCGTTTGCGTCCGTCCAGCTTCGCACTCGTCTCTAGAGATGGCTGCAGCTTTTAATTTAGCATTAGATTCAAACGTCAACCTTGCAGATATAAAAAGCTCCATTTTATTCTATTTTTTTAAAAAAGACTCCGACTTCCTTCCAAGAAAACCACCACCTGAAGATCCAGGCCTTTGGTAAACATTTATTTCTTATAACATTAAAAATGTCAATATTTGGCATTTGATAAGAGTGGCTGCGCTCACTCCCTGCTGCTAGTTCAGCTTTTCTTTCTTCGCTTGGTTTCCTCGCTCGTTTCGTCTCCCTGGTTTTCCTTGCTGCTCAAGAACCGCCCCTCTCACTACAGCCCATCTGGAGAGTTTGCAGACCCGCCTTCCCGAAGCAAGCGCAACGTGCGCGCCAGTTTGGGCTGAGATTGATTCCGTGGGAGCCGTCTTTCTCGATGGGAAAGAAGCAGCAGAAGCGAATACGTTCGCCTCGGTGGAGAGAGAAGACACGGATCCTTTTATCTCCAGCTGGGATCTTCTGAATAACTCCCTCGAAAGAAAGAAAACTAAATCATAGTAGTAGTAGTAGTAGTAGTAGTAATAATAATAATAATAATAATAATAATAATAATAATTTATACCCAGCCCATCTGGCTGGGTTTCCCCAGCCACTCTGGGTGGCTTCCAACAAAGTATTAAAATAAAAGCCGAGCGTGCTTCCAATCATCATCATCATCATCATCATCATCATCAATAATTGTTGTTGTTGTTGTTGTTCGGAAGCATGTCCCACCATTTTCAGTTTTATGGGACGCGTTTCCACCCCCCAAAATTGAATAGTATGCACCGTTCGTCATTCTGGGTGTCATGCTATGAATGACTCAACCGGATACCACCCTTAAAAATCTTATTACTGTTGATTATTAAACTTATTAAAACTACTACTACTACTTACTCCATCCCCGAGAGAGAGAGAGAGGTCTATCAGAAACCTTTCCATTTCTTGAGATTTGCCCAGTTCCAACAAAGAGCCTCTTGCCAATTTCTCTGAAATGGTCCCTTCGAAGGGCGCGGAGTAAACCGAGCTTTGGCCGGATAAAGCCTAGCGGTGTCCTTATCAGACTTTCCGAGGCGTTTGTGGGATGCTTCGCCCCAAGGAAACCCTCTTTACGCCTAGCTTCTGAAACTTGACGTGTGTACTTTTAGGACTCGCCTTATTTTGTGTTTGCAAGTTATTTTAAACTCTCTTTAATATCGCTTTAATGTTGGAACCCCCCTGGGACCTTAGACGGAGGGGCGGGCAAATAATAATAATAATAATAATAATAATAATAATATGATCGTATGATTGACTTTTCAACTTTTACCCTTTGACACTGCGCCTTTTAAAGTTCAGATCCAACTTAGGGTACAACAATTCAGGATAAAATAAGGGGGGGAGGTAAGCCCCGCCCCAATAATCAGTCACATAATCCTATGACGCGGTGCACACACACTATTTGAATGGCAAAACCCATCAAATATTTTATTGGTGGGACAAAGCCGCCTCGACCCATAGGAGTTGGCTCCTATGAACAGTACACAGATTAGCACCCCCCCCAAAAAAAAATTTAACCAGAATTATTATGAGCTAATTAATGCAGAGTGGCGGTCAGGATCTTGGCCATTTCAACCCGCAGAACATGGCCGCTCCAAGCGCCTAGACGGAAAGCGTAAAGATGCGCAAACCTTGACTTTCCTCTCCTCCTCTCCCTCCAGGTTATGATGATGGGGAACCCCGGGGTAGCTCAGTTGCTGCTGCAAAGAGGAGCGGATCCCAACCGCCCCGACCTGTCCACGGGCACGTTCCCGGTCCACGACGCGGCCCGCGGGGGCTTCTTGGACACGCTGCGGGTGCTGCGCCGAGGGAGCGCTCGCTTCGACGTGCGGGACCGCTGGGGACGCCGCCCGCTGGACTTGGCTGAAGAAAGTGGCCAGAGCCGGGTGGTCAGTTTCCTCCAGGAGGCATCGGGCTGAAACTCTCTTGAGATCCGGGATGAAGTCAGAGGACCAAGCGGAGAGCTCCCCACCCCGCCGCCGCCGGAGGAGGAGAATCGCGGGTGCGTAAACTTGAGACCCTTTGGCTTGGCTCTTGAACGCCACCCCTCAGAGACAAGCGAGATGGAGCTACAATTTCGGCGCCAGCATAAACTCTACGATCCTGCTTCGTTTGAAATGTGGCTTGTTAGATGTTTACATGCTTCCACTACGCATGGAGAATGGGTATGTCGGTTCGTGGGACAGTGTCTTCTGGTCTCTCACCCACGCCAGTCTCCTATGTACAATGATGTTCTAAAAGGAAACTGAGACAATAGTCCAGGGGTTGGGGATTCATGGCTCCCCAGATTTTGCGGGATGAACAACTCCCATTTATCCTTGACCATGATTCCCCACAGTGGATGGGGTTGGTGTGGCAGTGCTGGATTTAGGGCAGTGTGAGCCGGCCACACGCACACACCCCACTCCACCCACAGGGCACTGAGCCAAGGGGTGCAAAATTGAGAAGATCCATTTCGGGGTGCCTTGCACAGGGTACCATAGAACCATAGAATTGTAGAGTTGGAAGCCACCACAAGGCTCACTTAGTGCAACCACCTGCACTGCAGAAATCTTTTTGCCTAATGTGGGGCTCCAACTCAGGAGCCTGAGATGAAGAGTCAAGACACACACCCCATCTGCAAGAGCCCCAGTCTCAGATTATGAAGCTCTGCTCTGGTTTGTGTTATGGATGTTAACAGTGTTCGTTGTGTGAAATGTAAATAGCACTTTGAAATGTAGTATTGGGGAGTATTGGGGACTCGGGTGGCTCTGTGGGTTAAACCACAGAGCCTAGGGCTTGCCGATCAGAAGGTCGGCAGTTCAAATCCCCCCTGCTCCTGCCAACCTAGCAGTTCGAAAGCACGTCAAAGTGCAAGTAGATAAATAGGTACCGCTCCGGTGGGAAGGTAAACAGCGTTTCCGTCCGCTGCTCTGGTTCACCAGAAGCAGCTTAGTCATGCTGGCCACACGCCCCAGAAGCTGTATGCCGGCTCCCTCGGCCAATAAAGCGAGATGAGTGCCGCAACCCCAGAGTCGGCCACGACTGGACCTAACAGTCAGGGGTCCCTTTACCTTTACCTATTCGGGAGAATGAAGATGGTGCCAACCTGTGACCTCTTGCCTAAATGCACTCTGCTTCTGTTGCCATGGTTTTTCATTTGCACAAGTTATGCCTGTAAGTTTTTTCTTGAAGGCCCCAAAGGAAAAATTAACGGAGGAACGAAAGGATGAAGGATGGCCTTTGCAATATAATTATGAGGCTAATGCTAATATCTCACACATCACCTTTTTTTATTATTCATCCGCCAATTTCTTTTTAAGAAGTTCACACAAACGCTTTAGAATTCTTAAAGTGTCAAAATGAATCCTCCTATCTGACAATATGAGATAGATAATCCATATTAACGCCATGCAATCAGGTTTCAAGGAAGCAATGCCTGGATAAACGTGAGACCCTGAAAATGTTAAATATGCAGTCAGGGCGCTTCCAGACAGAAACTGAATATATTGCAAATGGGTCATTGGCAACAAGTTTTAGTTTTTTGCTTTTCACTTATCTGGTTTCTCCTGGAAAAATCTGGATTAAACGTGAGCGAGGATAGAGATTGCCATTTGTATGCCAACAGCGTTGTGTGACCACTATAAAAAACCATGCATACTCAATAGGTATTCTGGAATACCTTAGTCAAACCAGCTGAAATGGGAGAGAGTAATTCATTTTATTTGCATTTGTACACTGGCTATGGTTTAAGCAAATAACTTTATAAACATAGTGTGGAATCCAGAGAAAGTTCAGGATGCCTGAACTGCATTGAAGCCCTCGACAAAGTTAGATATTTAATCCCCAGTTGTTTAATAAAGATTGGTACAGTACACACCTAATTTGCACTGGGCTTTTTCTAGGAAACCAAATCATTGTACCCTAAGCCTTCCCTGTAAAAGAAAATCACTGCTAACAACAATTTAAGGCAACCTTTTGATTCAGGAAGTGTAAGTTAGTTGTTAAGGAGATATCTAGGAATAATAATAAATTAATAATTTTTATTTATTTATTTATACCCTGCCCTTCCCGGTTCAGAAAACCAGGCTCAGGGTGGCTAACAACAAATTTAAAACACTTAATTGTAGAAGCAGCATAAAATACAGTATAAAAACATGAATAACAATAAAATTCAAAGTTCAAAAATTAATTTGGGGGAAATCCACCCAATAAGCATTAGATAGTCACCAGGGCTAGACGGAATAGCTCTGTCCTACAGGCCCGCCGGAAGAAGGTTCAATCCAGAAGGGCCCTAGTCTTATGGGACAGAGCATTCCACCAGGCCATCACTGAAAAGGCCCTGGCCCTGGTGGAGAATAGAGCTAATCTCTCAGGTGCACTTCAAAGGGAAGCCCCACAAAAACTAAATTAATATATAAGCAGCTTTTGATACCATTGGCCATGGTATTCTTCTGGAGCAGCTGTTAACAGGTACATGAAACTGGTGAATGGGTTATCTGGAGTTTTGATGTATGGTGCCAGCAATAAGCTGGTGACACACAGCTCTACTTCTCTGTTAGATCTGCAGATGTAGCAACAGTTGTGCCTCTGGGTCAGGCTTCCTCAACCTCGGTCCTACAACTCCCATGATCCCTAGCTAGTAGGACCAGTGGTCAGGGATGATGGGAACTGTAGTCTCAAAACATCTGGAGGGCCAAGGTTGAGGAAGCCTGCTCTAGACCAACATCTGGCCTTGGTAATAGATTAGATAAGAACTAATGAACTGAAGCTTAATCCAGACAAGGTGGCTCCCTAGACCAGGTAGAGGGGATGTCACCTGTTCTGGGTGGAGAGCTACACTTCCTTGGAAGTAGCAGGTACGTAGCTTGGTGGTACTCCTGGATCTGTTACTTGAAGCTCAAATGACCTTGGTGGCATCAAGGGCCACCCAACAGCTTTGAGTGGTGGCCATCTGTACAGAGACAGCCTAACTTCTGTAGTCTATGCTCTGGTAACCTCTAGGCTAGATTACTGCAATGGGTTATACATGGGGCTGCCTCTGGAGACTGTTTGAAATCTGTAGCTGGTGCAGAATTCAACAGTCAGACTGCTGAACAGGACAAGATGGGTCTGAGCATGTAAAACCAATCCTGGCATGAATGTAATAGCTAACAAATAGCTTCTGGATTCAACTCAAACTGCTGGTTTTGACCTATAAAATCTTATGCAGGATCCAACTACCTAAAAGACATGAACCAGTACATGAACCAAACAGGATCCTACATTCAGCATCTATGTGCCCCCTTCAAGGAAAGTGGGGGTGGGGTGGGAACATGAAAATGGGCCTTTTCATGGTGGCTCCCCACTTACGGATATATATATCACAGATATGTATGAATGAAAATGGTTTTTCCCCATGTTTTCTGTTGTGCTTTTAATCTTTGCACTGTTTTGTATATTGCTTTGGGTTACATGTTGCAAAGGAAAGCAACTAATAGGTGCAATTAATAATAATATTCTGGGAATATTGAAGTGTTGTACCAGCCAGGGAGAGGCAGGCCCTCACAGAGGTCTACAGAGGCCTGGGCCTCTTCCAGATTTTGAGGCCTTAAGTCATAATAACAATTAAAAATGATGACACATTGAAACAAAACAAGGCATCCCCCAAAACAGTGAGTTGCTTGCTTATATATAATCAGCTAATTATATGTCAAGGAAGCCCCACTAATTACAGTCTAATCTTGTGCCACCATAACCAATATATATTTATGAGTATTTATGCAAAAAAGTAAGTTATTTAATATGAAATTATTCTTTATAAGTTAAGAAATCAAGTCTTCTACCAAATCACATCTCTTATTAGCTTAAATTTGCAGCTCTACCCTGAGTGGGTATGTCTCATATTCATCTGATGTGCACAAAAACAAGTTATGAAACTTATCACGTGCCAAAAAATCTTCAAAGTGGCACCTTTGAGCTTGAAGCCCAGGTCAAATGGCTTTCCTGGCTCCCTTTCAAATTGGCCCTGGGTAGGAGTATGTCATCTGTAGTCAGAGAGCTACTGCAGGTTCTGCTTGCTGAATAAGAAAGAGTGAGATTTCTTCAGCCTCCTTTCTTAGAACCAAAACTCTCTCTCTCTCTCTTTCACTGGCCATGAACCAGAAATAGTGAGACTTCCATTCACAGGTTATATGATCCACAGAATGTGCCGTGTACATGATTGACACAGACATCCATGGGTGACGGCTTAGAAATTCAGACATAAGAGGTGGTACTGTATTTGAGTAAGTTGGACTCAGAGTAGACCTGCTCCAATTAATGAACCTAACTTAGCTATGCCCATTGATTTCAATGTATCTGATAAAAACTTACTTGAATATCTCCCATAGTAACGGACTGTTTCAGTACTATTCATGTGCAGCTTGCAAGTTGAAAACTAGCCTCTGTCATCCCATTTTCAGCAACATCTGAATGGTAATACATGTAATATGTGCTCCAGCTCTGGCAGGTTTCGGTGGAAGGGTCACTGCTGAATTATTCTATAGTCATTAAGTATAGAGGACTTGAGTAGAAAATGTTTGATCTGTAGAAAATCATGGAAGCATATTCTAAGTGAAGGAATTAACGGTTGGATCAGAGAGCCCAAATGGGATGGTTATGATGCTACCTTTCTGAGCCCATTGAACTCAATGGGACTTCTGAGTAGAGCTCTGTGAAGGATCAGGCTCCGGGGGAAGTGAATCTATCAAGTACTTGGACTAGTTAGTATTTCTTAGCCTGTGACAGATTACCATTGGGTTTTACTGACTTGTTTTACTGCTGTTTGGTATTCATGTTATTTAAATAAAAGTATCAATGGACCGCTCACAAGAATCCCCATCTGTTTTTATCCAGTGCCTCTCTTCAGCAGTCAAGTAATTAAAATCGGGGTGAACTATGAAATCGGTTTTATTAGACTAATTCACAGTAAAACAAGCACTTTATTAATTAAATGCAGAACAGAAAAGCAACCTTTTAAGAAGTTGCAAGCTTACCCAACTGTTAATAATCTATTTAACTAGAGCTTCACATTTTTGCTGTTACAATAGCAAAAAGCCCAACCCCTTTGATTTCCCCGTGGGCTCAGAGCAGCTGACCACATACTGTATCTTGTGAACACACAATCCCCAACATCTCCACATAGGGCTGGAAGAGATTCCTTCTTTAAAACCCTGGAGAGGTGCTGTCAGTCATTGTAGACAATATTGAGCCAATGGGACTATAAGACTATAGAAGACAGCTCATGATGATCTCCAGGTGCTGGCCTGCTTTTTCACTGTACTTTAAAAACAAGTATTTTAATCGGTTGTTCCAGTTAGATCATTTTAGCATCTGGACTTAGACTCACAGGGCAGGGTCCTTTTTAGGGGGCAATATGTAAAACACCAAAGGGACTCGGGTGGTGCTGTGGGTTAAACCTAATGACCTAATGGTCAGGGGTCCCTTTACACTTTACCTTTATTATGTAAAACACCACTTACTTTGAAACTAGGGGACCTTCTGCTCTTTCTGCTGAGAGGTGCCCCAGAATCTGACCCAAAGTCACAGCTTTCAACATGTTTGGGTTGGTTCTTTCCATCTTTATCCCTGTTGGTGAGTAAAGACCAGAGCATGAAGAAATAATACATGAACAACGCAAATTAATAACCCTGGGAGCATGCTCCAGAATTCTTAACAGCTTTTGAAATAGGCTTTTTCTCCCTAACAAAAGTGCATACATAGTAATTCAGTGTCTCCCCAGCTTCCAGAAATCCTTCCTCCAAACCCAACTTTTATGTGAGACCTTCGGCTATTATACTTTCACCCTCATTCCAACTGTGATGAAGGCTGAAGCGCACAGAACTCTTTGAGCCAAAAAATGATGCAGAACCTTTCACTAAAGAAGGGTTTCCTCACAGTTATCCCGTGATACCCTGGTCTCTTCTGTTCCCCTACATTTCCCCCTTGGTCTATTTCAAATTGAAACAGCTTCCAGGGGTGGGGACTGACTTTTTTTTTTGCCCCAATAATCTGCAAACCACTCCTTATTTTAATTGTGCTATAATAAACCACATGATCTTAGGACTTTTCAAACTGACTAGCCCTTATGCAGTCTGAGAAATTAAACCGTGCACAGTTACCAGAGTCAGGACTTTCTCCCAGTGAGCCACAGGGTTTGTTCATCCTGGAGCAAAATGTATATTTGCACCTTTCTGTCTCCCCATTAATGCAGGGGCCTCCATGTGACACCCCCAGTCTCATTGTTGTCTTGGACCCTTCCCTCTTTAAATGTGGGGTTTCTTTCATTGGAAAGTATGAAATCGCTGGGATCAACAAACTCTAAATTTAAAAGGAGGGGGTCAGGTTGTGAGAATGTTGAGGAAAGGTAGGAGAGGATATATTGATGAAATATTATCTCTCCTCACTCAGGCTTGTGAGTAAGTAGCAGAGCACATTCCCTTGCACATTGCTGGAATCTAGTTGATGGATTTGTGAGAATCGTTTGAGTTAAGCAATCCAATCTGGCTTGCCCAGGCTGGATAGTTCCTGGTAAACGTTTCCCTCTTAAAATAATAATACAACAGTCTTCATTAAAGGTAATAGGAAGTTTACTTACATTCAGTTCATAGTAGTTTCCTGAAGGCAGGCTTTAGCTTATAGTTGCAGTTACATTTATAGAGATACAAAGTGTGGCTTCATCCTCTGTAAGGATGAGCCATGTGCTGTTGGCTAAGAGTCAGCAGAAAGCAAAAGGGCAAAAGTGAGCAAAATGAAGAAAAGAAGGGAAGATGGCTGGATGACTGACCCTTTTACAGGGTCTGCCAGGGTCACACCCATCTACCTGGTCACACACAGGAGGAAGAGGCTCCAGACCAGGTGTGACAGGAAGTCCTCCTGGCTGAAGCAACATTCCCCTGTGTGTCCTCTCTGGGCAAACAGGAAATGTTGTATTTGATTGCTTCAGTGATGTTACATCCTACAAGGGCAACACTAGGATGAGCAGGGCATCATGTGGACATCCCTACATGAATGGGGATACAGGAAAATGCAAATGCAAGACCAGGTGCAGATCAAAATACCAAGGGCAACCCACTTACTTGACCTAAAGATGGGTCCTTTTTGCTCCAAACTAGTAGGGACTAGTAGAATACACAGAGGAATTATACCAGAAAGATATGGATGTCTTGTACACCCCAGGTAGTGTGGTTGCTGACCTTGAGCCAGACATCCTGGAGAGTGAAGCCAAACGGGCCTTAGAAAGCACTACAAATAACAAGGCCAGTGGAAGTGATGGTATTCCAGCTGAACTATTTAAAATTTTAAAAGATGATGCTGTTAAGGTGCTACACTCAATATGCCAGCAAGTTTGGAAAACTCACCAGTGGCCAGAGGATTGGAGAAGATCAATCTACATCGCAATCCCAAAGAAGGGCAGTGCTAAAGAATGCTCCAACTACCGCACAATTCCACTCATTTCACACGCTAGCAAGGTTATGCTTAAAATTCTACAAGGAAGGCTCAAGCAGTATGTGGACCGAGAACTCCCAGAAGTGCAAGCTGGATTTAGAAAAGGCAGAGGAACCAGAGACCAAATTGCAAACATGCGCTGGATTATGGAGAAAGCTAGAGAGTTCCAGAAAGACATCTACTTCTGCTTCATTGACTATGCAAAAGCCATTGACTGTGTCAACCACAGCAAACTATGGCAAGTTCTTAAAGAAATGGGAGTGTCTGATCACCTCATTTGTCTCCTGAGAAATCTCTACATGGGACAAGAAGCTACAGTTAGAACTGGATATGGAACAACGGATTGGTTCAAAATTGGGAAAGGAGTACGACAAGGCTGTATATTGTCTCCCTGCATATTTAACTTATATGCAGAATTCATCATGCGAAAGGCTGGGCTGGATGAATTCCTAGCCGGAATTAAGATTGCCGGAAGAAATATCAACAACCTCAGATATGCAGATGAAACAACCTTGATGGCAGAAAGTGAGGAGGAATGAAAGAACCTTTTATTGAGGGTGAAAGAGGAGAGCGCAAAATATGGTCTGAAGCTCAACATCAAAAAAACGAAGATCGTGGCCACTGGTTCCATCCCCTCCTGGCAAATAGAAGGGGAAGAAATGGAGGCAGTGAGAGATTTTAATTTCTTGGGCTCCATGATCACTGCAGATGGTGACAGCAGCCACGAAATTAAGGGACATCTGCTTCTTGGGAGAAAAGCAATGACAAACCTAGACAGCATCTTAAAAAGTAAAGACATCACCTTGCCAACAAAGGTCCGTATAGTAAAAGCTATGGTTTTCCCAGTAGTGATGTATGGAAGTGAGAGTTGGACCATAAAGAAGGCTGATCGCCAAAGAATTGATGCTTTTGAATTATGGTGCTGGAGGAGACTCTTGAGAGTCCCATGGCCTGCAAGAAGATCAAACCTATCCATTCTGAAGGAAATCAGCCCTGAGTGCTCACTGGAAGGACAGATCCTGAAGCTGAGGCTCCACTACTTTGGCCACCTCATGAGAAGAGAAGACTCCCTGGAAAAGATCCTGATGTTGGGAAAGATGGAGGGCACAAGGAGAAGGGGACGACAGAGGACGAGATGGTTGGATAGTGTCTTCGAAGCTACCAGCATGAGTTTGACCAAACTGTGGGAGGCATTGGAAGACAGAAGTGCCTGGCGTGCTCTGGTCCATGGGGTCACGAAGAGTCGGACACGACTAAACGACTAAACAACAACAACAAAGTAGGGACGCGGGTGGCACTGTGGTCTAAACCACTGAGCCTCTTGGGCTTGTCGATCGTAAGGTTGGCAGTTTGAATCCGCACAACGGGGTGAGCTCCCATTGCTCTGTCCCAGCTCCTGCCAACCTAGCAGTTCAAAAGCACACCACTGCAAGTAGATAAATAGGTACCACTGCGATGGGAAGGTAAATGGTGTTTCCGTGTGCTCTGGTTTCCGTCATGGTGTTCTGTTGCACCAGAAGTGGTTTAGTCCTGCTGGCCACATGACCCAGAAAGCTGTCTGTGGACAAACGCCGGCTCCCTCGGCCTGAAAAGCAAGATGAGTGCCGCAACCCCATAGTTAAATTTGACTGGACTTAACCACCCAGAGGTCCTTTACCTTTTTACCTTTACCTGCTTCAAACTATGGTCAGACAGTATGTCATGCACACAGGGAGACAACTTGATGTGGGATGTGAAACACATAGCAGTCAAGTACAACATTCCTAGAGTGGACATGCAAGAGGATGCTTGGTCCAACCAGTAGAAAACTTCCTGTTTCCTCCTGGGCTGTGACAAACTTCCTCTGCATGTGACTAGAAGTGGGCTTGATCTTACCTGCCCAGGCCCAAAAGGGGCAAGGCAGGCAGCACACTGTCTCTTCTCCATCTTGCTTTCGACATGTGAGCAGCAGTGACTGCCTGTCTACCTGCAGTCATTTGGAACTAACTCCCATATGGGATAGTTCCACGTGTATATATTTTGTAACTGAAGTCTGCCTTCAGGGATCCATCTGTGAAGTGAATGGGTGTGAGTAAACTTCTTTTATACTTTTTACACAAGATTGTGTCATGTGTATTCTTTTTAAGAGGGATATAAGGGAATTACCAGGAATCTTATATTGAGAGGCTAAAACTAGCCTACAACAAGCTAACCGCTGTGCATTTAAAGGGGGAATTTTATAGAACTTGCTAACTGCTTAGAGCTGAAAACATATTTTAAAAATGACAAAGTTAATGTGACCGTGCTGGTTTTGAACTCAAAATACGATAGATATTTGAAATGTGTTATTGTTTCACTTTTGTCTCCCATGTGAATGGGTATTTCCCCCATCCTATATTTATTTCACTTATTGCCAGTATTGAAATTTAACACAATTGTGTGTCTACTATCGACTACTATTGTATTTTTACATTGTTCTGTGGTAAGTTACTATAGGACTACTATTGTATTGGTAAGATAGGCCCTCCTCTTTGAAACAGGGCCACTTCCATTTAAAATAGAGCCCTTTCCATTGGAATCTCCTTGAGACATCAGTAGTTGCTATATCACACTTTGCAGTACTGGGATAAACTTTTTCTTAGAGTGTTGAAATTCATACATGTTTTAAACCCTAGATTAAAATCCTTTATATTCATGTTATTACATCACAATGCCTCACAAACAAAACAGCCAACAAGTTGTTATAGAGAAAGTCATCTCACAGGAAGAATGAGAAGAGAAACTGTTGCCTCATTTCCTACCCCAGTGTAAGATTCTTAGGACAATGCCCCAATTCAGGGAGAGGAGGAGAGTCAAACAGAAACATATTTTTTTAAAAAAATGCTACTAGCCATCTCAAAAGTAACAGCTTATTAGCTAGGTTTTAGTTGTTTTTATTGTAATGTTATGTTGTGAACCGCTCTGAGATCTATGGTTAAAAGGTGATATACACATTAATAACAATAACAATAATAATGCATGTCAGTTATGATTTAGTAATTTGATCATATTTGGACCCTGTCATTCTTCCAAGGAGCTCATCCACAGGAGTCTCAATTTTATCTTCTGGGTATCCTTGATTTCTGGGTATCCTTGATTTTCCAGAAGAGTGACAGATAGCAGTTACTAGAGTAAACTGTCACACATGGACAAAACAGCAGCAGACTGGTGGACTTAACGGCTTAATATGAAAGCAGGAGGAAACAAAATGGAAGAGGGTGGAGGAAGTTGTGTTAGGCCTTCCTCTTCTTGCATAACGTGGCTGACTGGTTGTACTCCAGCATGCAGGAACCATGTGGCTGCAGCCTTGTGTGAGACTTTTAGAAGACATCTGAAGGCAGCCCTGTTTACTAAAGTTTTTAATGTTTGATGTTTAATTGTATTTTTAAAAATTTGTGGCTGGGGACACCCAGCCAGATGGTCGGGGTATAAATAAATTATTATTATGATTATTCCCCTACCCCACACGACCTACACAATATCTGCAGACAGTCTGGGCATGCAGGCACTAATCCTCACTAAGTAAAATGAAAGAGAGCCTGCTACTCAGAAGGGAAAGAAAAGAGACATGAAAGCAAAGGTTGTGCAGGTGAGCAGAAGGAAAGTTTAGGAATGTAGCAGGTGAGACTTTTTAAGTACTGTTAACTCCTTATTATTATTATTAATTGAATTTATATACCGCCCTATACCTGGAGGTCTCAGGGTGCTTCACAGAACAAAATCAAAATATAAAACCACAAAATAGATAATCAAAATAAAAACAACAGCCCAATAACTCCCCTCCAAAAAAACCCACTAAATCCTACAGAATTAAATGTATTTATTGCATTTATAGCACACGTTTTTCTGCAATGAGACCAAGGTGGTGCCTCGTTCTTCCTCTCCTCATTTATTCCCCCCAATAACCCTGGGAGTAGGTTAGGCTGAGAAGCAGTGGCTGGTCCAAGGGCACCTAGTGACCATATGAATGCTAGTCTCCCAGATCCTACTCTGAGACTCTTAATCAGCCCGTCCCACGAGCTCTCCAGTAGTTCCAATGTGCAGAAGCAGATTATTCCATAGATAATGGAGAGACAGGACAACTGACAGTTATTCCTCAAGGAAAATAACCTGGGATGAGCAGCAGAAGATGTTTCAGATCCCTCTCCTTGTAATCATTTAAGTCCTGGGATCTACTGCTGGCAGCTGAAATGGCCCTTCAGCCATTAGACACGGAATGAGTTTCCTCCGTGAGGGAGATCGCACCCTTCCTTCTGTTTCTGTTGCAATTTAACAATGAATACTATTCTACTAGAGTTAACAATAATCGCTTCGGGCAAACCGCAGGTCTCATGGGGGTGCGGTTGGGGCACGCAAAATATTTTAGAGCGGTTCTGAAATATTTTCTTTTGTGCGCCCAAGCTGCTGTCGTGGGAATAGAAGACAGATAAAAAGGAGGAGCAGGAAGTTCTTCGGTTCTGCCAGTCTCGCTTAATTCTAAAGCAAACCTTTTCTGAAGGCGATCGGACTGACACCGGACTCCACCGCTCTCGGGGCTGTTATTGAGATTCACCCGAAACCGAAACGGACCTGCCACGGCGCAGCAGGAAATGCGCTGGCTCTCTTGCTAACCATCTTGCACGAACAGCTTGGGCCTTTTCTTGCGATCTAAACTGGCGTATTCGCGTCCCTTACCTCCACACAGAACGGGGAATGATTTCTTCACGTTGCAGTCGAGACGGCTTGGCGATCCTTCAGCGTCCCCCTTCGGATCTGCGCAAGGAGACAGTGTGGTTTGAGGAGCCCGGGCGAGGTAAGGTCTCTCGAGAAGAAGGCTGAACCTCAGGCGACCAGAGATCTCTCTCGGGCTCCTTGCTAGTTTAGCACCAAGTAAAAATCGTTTTATTTTTGTTTATTTTTAACAGAAAAAAGCGTGGCCAGCTTCCCTTGCTTTCCGTTTCGGCTAGCGGGATGCTGACGTCCTCGGGGCTCTGCGGGCAGAAGCTGACGACGCCCCGGGACGAAAACACGGCTGGGGAGGCCGGCTTCCAACGGAAAGCTAGACAAGCCCAGCTTGGCAAGCGCCTCCGCAGCTCCTGCTCTCCACACCCACCACCAAAGGAGCCAACTTCTAGGGGCCGAAGTCCTGTTGCGCCCCCATAACATATTTGAGGTGGCGAGGCTCTCCCAAAGTTGATGAGCATTGCCATTCAAATGGCGTGCATGCGCTGCATCTTGTGATCGATTATGTGGCGCGGGACTTTCCTGCTCTCCCCCCCTCCACGTTTAATTCAAGTTGGCACCCCTGCCCCCCACCCCAAGAGAAGATCTCACTCTTATCCGACCCGGGGAAGCGAAAGGTGGGCTGTTGCGCCGCGTCTGCCGCTCGCCTGACAGCAGCAACGTCTCCCTTCCAAGCACCGCCCTCAACGCGGAAATGCGCGCAGCGGATACGCGCAAGCGAGCTCTCCCGTTCAGGCTGCCCGCTACCCGCAGCCTTGCCCCGATAGGGCCGCTCTCGGCCCGCCTCCCTTCCCTCCCCTTCACCGGCGGAGACCGGTTTGGGCCGAAAAGAAGCCGCCTGCTCCCTCTGCGCCACGCGCGCCTGTTCCCCGGCAGCGCAGCGGGCCGAAAGCGAAGCGGCTTCAGCTGCAGCCCCGTTTAAAACAAACAAAAACGCCGAGCGGCTTCCTGATTGGCTGCACGGTCGGGTCAGATGGTGGTGCGTGTTTTCCACCTAGCAATTTCTTCGTTGACGTTTCGAATGGAAACAGAAGGGGAGGAGAGAGAGTGGCTGGAGGAGGAGAAAAGGGGATGGCCGCGGGGTGTGATGATGATGATGATGGGGGGGGAGAGAGTGCAGAGCGATCTCCTTCTAAAGCTCTTTTTTTCCTCTTCCTCCTCCCCTTCACTAAAACATGGTGTGGTCCAAACCAACAGGAGGACATCTACAGGGGACGGGAGGGGAGGAACGGAAGGGGAGTAACTTTTTGCGCCTGTGGGGACGCGGGCAACGTGAAACCTCCTTGGCAGAGTGCCAGGGAGCTGAACCTGCTTACATTAGGCTCTGGAGAGAGGAGCTCCCCTCCCCCAGCCACCCTCCCTCTCCGCCTCCCCCCCCCCCCGCCCTTCTCCACACGCTGCTCTTCTCCCCCGGATGCCAGCAGCCAGCCCAACCCCCGGGCGCCAAGGAGAATCCGCGTGCGCGCTCCCTTCCAACGGACCCCTCGCAGCTTCGCCCCCGGAGCGACGGGCCCGATGGGCACCCGCGTCAAATGCACCATCCGCTGCGCCAGGCCCAAGAAGCTGCCGCGTCTCCTCAAGCCCCTTCTGGTGAAGCTCATCCGAGATCTCCTGAGGAACCCGGGCAGGAGAAGGCCGCTCCACCATTCCTTGGTGCTGATCGTGCGGAAGAAGCCATGCCAGCCCGCCGAGCCTGGATCCTCGGCCCGGAACAGGTAAGGGAATGGCGAATCTCTTTTAGACGCCTGCCTGCCTCTCTCTCTCTCTCTCCATCTCGCTCTCTCCCTCCCTCCCTCTCTCTCTCTGTTTGTGTGTTCTATCTATTCTATAGAACTCCTTTTCCTAGTGAACAAAAGCCAGGAAATTTCCATCGGCCAAGTCTCCCCTTCTTCCCCCAAGTGGTGAGCGCACTGTTAGAACTCCTGGAATCTGTTTACCCTGGTTAGGTTTAGAACTGCGGACATCTTTAATTCGAAAGTACCTCCATCGTGTCCCTGGTCTGGAGTCCTGAAAGGAGCAGACAGCTCATCCGTAATCATTCTGTCTTTTGTTGGAGGCTAATTTTACCTTGAAATGCCCCTGAGTATTTTATGCATGTGTAGAAAGAGATCTGGAGTATGTTTATTTGTGTGCTTTAAAGATGAGAGATTCCATGTGTTTTATGTATTGGGGGGGGGCTCATTTCGGTGAAAGATGAGACTCGCAGGTAAAACAAACGGCAGAAAGATAGATGAACGGCATATATCTTTGTACATTAGAAGCAGAACAAATAATCGGTCGGCTGCTTAAATGGGGACAAATCATTTTGAGAGGAGAATCTCACAAAAACACTCTTCACCACCAAACATTCATATCGAGAAGTCTCCTGAGGGTTGTCTAAGGAGTGAAATGAGATTACAGATAATTTGCATAATATTTCAGTGCAAAAAGAAATAGATTGCATTAATAAAAAAATAAAAAATAGGCCTCGAAGATCCGGCCTGCTTCTTTGTTTTCTCTTCCTAGATTAGGTAGGCCTATGCACATTAAAGCAGCACTGCACGTTCTGAAATTGTCGGTAGTCGTGGTTAGGGACCATGACATTTAGTCTCTTGCGATAACCACAATCGTTTATATTCTAGGGGGCTTTTTGTAAACTTAGTACTTATTATTTGGCTGTGAGGGCACAAAAGGGAGTTACTGAACTGTGCAAAGCTGAAGGTGTGTGTGGAGAAATCTTATCCAAAATCCAGTATCTATCTTAATTACATTTTTGAGGTGCTCAGCTAGGAATAAATCTGAAAATGTCAACTCTTGTCACCCCCTCTGTTCAAATTTGTTGCTATTAAGTACAATTGCATGTTTGTTTGTTTTCCAAAGAGCTCATTATATTGCATGTTGACTTTCACTTTACAAAACTCCTTATTGTACGAAAAATAAAAACTCAATATTGTCCAGTGTGGGGGACACTATATAATATTAGAAATGGTTTTTTTAATGGGGCAATATTTATTCCCAATGACCTCTGGGCATTAGCTGCGCGAATTAATTTCCTAGAAGGGAGCAAAACGTTATCCTCGCCTGGTGTGTGTGGGCTCCTTCGGAGCGTGGTCTCCTTCTGCGAAACAAAGGAACGTGCAATATTTTGAGGTTTATTTCGCTGGAAAGCCGATCTCCGAAATTAATTGCCGAAAGAATGAAATTCTGGGATCAAAATAGAAAGGCAAATTGGGAAATGCCGCGGATGGACAGACGCCTTGGAGTCTAATTGACAAGAGTTAAGCACTAACACAGGATATTTTGAAAGGAAATTGTCACAGTTATTTTACACTGATATATATATATATATATATAGTACAACTATTTCTAAGTTCAAATATGCACCATAGATATTCCTTGCGCAATAGGAAGATTTATAGATAAAGGCAGATGCATTTTACAGTGTCGACCCTCGTTTTTGAAGCTACGCTCCTTTTCGGTAGTTTTTCAAGTACTTTCCTGAATTTCGTAAAGTAATGAATTCTCTATTCCACTTTAAATAAACTCTCTTTCTCGTGCTTTCACATTAAAAAAAAATAGTTGTAATCATTACTATCGTTTGCAGAGAATCTCTGGGCAGTTTTTATGGGCCCGAGCCTGCCGAAAGTATATCATGTCGAACAACACCGTTGGGGCGAGGACAAGGCAAAATTAAGCACTTTTGCCCAGTTTGAATATTAAAAAATAAAAGTAAAAAACAACAGGCATCTCCCACGGACTTCATTGTGCTAAAATTGCAAGCTAAAGAGCAAAGCGAAGAGGGAAATGGTTGAGCTAATAACTTGGAATAGCTGCGCTGGTTCGTGGTTGCCTGGTTCGCCTTCTGGCAATTGCCGCTTTAGAACAGCAATGCGGATGGTCTGTCTTCAACCCACTCCCCTCTGCAAAATATTTTATTATAATGGAGAACCGTTATTTTCTCAACTCTGACTAGAATTAGAGGTCACCAAAGCAGCAAGTTTGAGGCACAATCCTACGCGCATCTACTCAGAAGTAAGTGGTACTGAATTCATTCGGGTTTTCCTGCGCGGATCATGCTACGAGGCGTTTATTGCACCCCACCCCTGTGCACGCTTACGCTGTACCCTATGCATGCAACCCTATGTGCATTTGCACGGGAGTAAGCGCTGCTGAATGCCATAGGCCTTCCTTCCGATTAAGCACATAGGAGCGCAGTAAGCATTTTAGAGTGCTGCGAGATTCTTCGCTGCAGTAAAGGAATTGGGTTTCCCCGTTGGAATCTACTGGATTCCTGTTACAGTTATGTCCCTTCTCAGAATTCCGACGATGGTAACCTCCTCAGAAAAAAGCTGGAATGCAAACCAGATGCGTTTGCATCCGCTGTAGCTCGGTGCGCTCTGGTCAGACCAGATCTCTACAGATTTAGGCCATCCTTAACGCCCCCCCCCCAACTAGGATCTTCGGATCCCGCCCAGTTTGCCCGCAATCCTGAGCGACGATCCCAGAGTGTTCAGTGAGAATTGCTCCCTCGTAAGCCTGGATTGGGTCTTTGCAGTCCTGAGAAGTAAGGCTGCAATCTTACTCCCACGTAAATAGAGTTAAAACTGCAGCCTTAGCGCTGCTCACCCAGGAGTAAACCCGCTTTGACTTCAGTAGCACTTACTTCTGAGTAAACATACTTCTGAGCGCAGGACCGGGCTCCACACGCCTGCGTCCCGCAACAATTGAACCAACAGTCTAGCTGCTGCTGATCAGCTGGAGTGGCCGACCTAATGGTTCCGATCCAAAGTGCGCGCGCAGAGCATCCCGCGCACGGAGCGCAAGCGGCGCGTTTGGAGCAAACATAGTGTCACCCCATTCACTTCCGTAGAGTGCTCTCTGGTGGGGAGGGGGCTCGAGGGGGGCTCGCTGCAGGTGGGAGAGAGGGCTGCGCGGCTCCCTTTGCCAGCCTCGGGAATCTGTCGGAATTCCGGGGAGCGGGGCCCAGCATTTGGGGTGTAGGCAGGCGAGGAGCGGGTCTGCATGCAGAAGGAGCCACAGGTAAAAGAAACACGCCTGCGCGCATCCTTCTGGTCATTCCTCTATAAGGCCTGTGAGAGGCAAGGGGCGGCGCGTGGCCTTGCAGGAGGTATTTTGCAGGATCACGCGCACCCAGGGGACTTAGCAGTCCCCGCCTATCCCCACCCAATCATTCTATGACACCTGGATGGGGAGATGGGGGGTTGTTTGGGGACACAGGCAACCGGCCCTGGCCCTGATTTTTAAGAGGGTTGCTCCTGTTAGCAGAGGAATTGAAAACAGGAACTTGGAGATTTCAGAAATGAAGTCGTTGCTGAACGAGGTAGGCGAGTGAGCTCCTGATAGAATAAACACCACTATCACATACTGTATGTATAAATATATGTATATATATATATACTTAAAAAAAGGAAGTTGCGCAATCCTCTCTTGCAAGCAAGATGTCCTCCCTCCTTGCCTTCAGGAGGATCAAAATGGAGCACAGCTCTTTTTGTATTAGAATTGTTTTAATATGAAAAATAAAAGCAAGGTTTTCCAGAGTGGGCCTGGAACAAATCTTGAGACAATAAACTATGAAAAGGCAGGAAAGGGTCCCTTCTTAAACGTATAGGGAGTGGATTTTAATTAATTAATTTACTTATTTACTCCTAGAATGCATTAAGCTGGTTGTAGCGGTGTGCCTCAGTTTCCCCGTCTGTCAATGGCGAGAGAGGAAGAGGCCGTATTTCAACGGCGCCTGCGTGAGTTTAAGGAGATGGTCAGCGAATCCGCCTTTGTCTCGGATCCTGCAATCCTCTCATACACTGAAAAGCAAAGGCTGCTGATTTTACTCTCAAGCGAAGGTGGCAGAGAACTCTGTTCTTGTGAAATTCTTCCCTCTCTGGCTCCCTTTCTCCAGAGTAGTCTCGATAAGGTGAATCGCGTTAGCTGTGGGATTCAGAGAAGGAAGATCAGGTGAATTCAAATGAGCCCCCGCCTTGCCACCCAATGAATAGCAAAGAAGAGGGGCGGCCCTCGCCCCTCAAAGGAGCTCCTTCCAACACACACACACACACACACACACCGCGCACCGCCAGGTGAAACCCCGGAGATCTGCTGCCAGTCAGTGTTGGGCAATACTGACCTATATATTGACCAGTGGCCTGACTCTGTATGAGGCAGTTTCTGCGTTCCCAGGTGTCTGTCCTCTTTAATTTAAAGCGCAATCCAGCATGCATGGATAGGGCAGTGATCACTGTCACCTGTGCCCTGACCCTTTACACGCTGATCCAAACCGACACGAGCAGGGCGCTGGGCGACCTGGCTGCGAATGAAGGGCATTTTAAACCAGTGCCGTTCACTGCGGAGCGAACGTGGCCTGGATCCGGCTCTCAGAGTCTTTGCGTTCGCTCTGGTCCCAGCAGCCCCACTGATTTCAGTAGGGCCCGTTCCTATGACCGGCGCGCAGACGGCAGATAAACTCTGCCATCGGAGTAGCTTGAAGCGCCAGGAACTCTCTATCTCTACAGTCGCTTTAAGCACCATTTTTTGTAGGCCCGGAAAGCCTAAACACTTGGCATGAGTGTTTTTTGGGTGTTCATCCCATTTAATGATAATGATAATGATAATGATAATAAATTGATAGTAAGGTGGGGGGGGACTCAAAGTCACCGTCTTTCCCCCCTCCCCTGAAGATAATATTTCTCTCTTTATTACAAACTGCATGCTCTTCCTTAAATTTATATACTGTTTTATAATAAAAAGCTCTCAGAATATTCCACAGTTAAAAAGACTTAATGAAATAAAAATATAAAACATCAAATAATCAAACAGCATTTAGAAAGCAGGAAGTAAATAAAGAACAATTTGTTTTAAAACATTTTAGTAGAGGCTCCGCCGTCTTTATCGCTCCTGTTGAACTTGACCAGGCTTAACGCATTTGGGGGCTCCTATTCCCCTGGCAATTGACAAGGCGGACCATTCTGAATGAAGGCACTTCGGTTGTTTCACATGGGATGCCAGAATACTCTTCCTTTCCTCTCTCCAAAACCCAGGCTGTGTAGGGAAGCGCTTGTTTTTGCTTTCGTTTTCTTTTTTTCCATTTTAATTTTAAGCTCTCAAACTCATTCTGCTTGAGAGAGGCCTACTGCTTGAACTCAAACCTTTCTCTCCAGTGATGCCTTGGAGCTAAACTACATATCGCACAACCCCTTTTTGGAATTCGCTGCCAGGCGAAGCCGGCATGGCGGTTGGGTTAGAGGAGACGGACTGAGACTGGAAAGGCGCGAATTCGTAGGAGACGGGCCTCTTGGCCATGTTTATCTCAATGGCTCCGTTTAGAGAGTTCAAAAGCTGCCGGGCTGCCAGGGCACACGCAAGTGGCAAAGGGTGGATCTTCTTCTTTGACAATCCCTCGTAGACGAGTAAGATTGTCTTCCATGAACACGGTTTTAACAGAGTGTCCGTAGGTGACTATGGAGGCCAGTTCTGGATCCACACCTCCTTCTACAGTGGGACATAGGTTTCCACGCGGGAGTTGATCCTGGTGAGGATTTGCTAAGCATGCCTTCCTCTTAGCACATTTCTCCCTTCCGGCCTGAGTTCGGGTGTCTTCAAAGTCCATGACACCTTTGGTAAAGGCTGTTCTCCAATTGGAGCGTTGGTAGGCCTATGTTTCCCAATTGTTGGTGTTTATACTACTTTTTTTTTTTAAAAAAAATTGCCTTTTGTTGACCACCAGCATTACGCTTTCCATTTTTAAGTTTGGAATAGAGTAGTTGCTTTGGAAGATGATAATCAGGCATCCGCACAACATGACCAGTCCAACGAAGTTGATGTTGAAGAATCATTGCTTCGACACTGGTGATCTTTGCTGCTTCCAGTACACTGACATTAGTTCTAAAGGGTGACTATCGCTTCCCTGACCTGTTGTTGTTTAGTCGTATCGGACTCTTCGTGACCCCATGGACCACGCCAGGCACTCCTATCGTCCACTGCCTCCCGCAGTTTGGTCAAACTCATGTTGGTCTCTTCGAGAACACTGTCCAACCATCTCGTCCTCTGTCGTCCCCTTCTCCTTGCATCAGGGTCTTTTCCAGGGAGTCTTCTCATGAGGTGGCCAAAGTCTCGGAGTCTCAGCTTCGGGGTCTGTCCTTCCAGTGAGACTCCCTGACGTATTTGTGAGTTATTCGCTGTTGGAAGCGGATGCCTCTTACTTTAGAGATGCTAAACAGCTCTTCATATATTCTTCTTCCATTTATTGATTGGTTTTTGTTTACTACAACTGCTGACGAAAGTGGGAGTGGGAGCCACCTCGAAATGTTGAAATATGAAGTGCACCTCGTGTTCAGTGTGCCAGCCAGCCAGCCAGCCCTGCCCTTTTCTAAGGCACGCCATTCCGCCCCTTGATCCAGCCATCCTTTTTGCCTTCCCTCGCCCGCCCTTTAAGAAGCGGAAGGCATTCCGTGGCCAATGAGCGTGTGCTTTCTTCCTCGGCGGAGATTCCGCTTGAGGGTCCCCCCACAGTCAAAATATTATTTGATTGCTTGTAGCTGTACAAACTTTTGGGTCCCCCAAGCTTGTTGCTTCCTCTGTCGTGTGTCTGGATGGTGCCCTTTTGGCTAGCTGGGAGAACCTGTCTGTTCTTCCTATGCAGGTATGGGCGTTGCCAGGCTTTTTGTCGGGGTAGGTGGAGCAGAAACTCAGTTAAGTATTTTTATTGATTTACTTGATTTGCTTGCACCCCTCGGCTACGCCAAGTATGTTGGGTGATAAAGATCATCATATTCTGCCCACTTCCTCTGGGGAGCTGAAGAGACTTTTCAGGCCTCTCTCTCATTGGCAGATGAGCGTTTCAGATGCCTTAGGAAATTCCCCAGTAACTGCCGCTGCTTGAGGGTCCCACCTCAGCTTTAACCATAGAAACCAATAAAATATTTGAGGGGGCAGGCCCACCCCCCTTGTTAATGGGCATTCCCATTCAAATAGTTTCCTTGTGCCATGTGATTGATTATGTGGGGCGCTGCTTACCCGCCCCCCCCAAATATTTTATTGAAGTTCGCACCCCTGACTATAACTCTGCATTAGTGTGGGGTGTGGGGGTGTGGCTGGGGGGTGCGAGCGAGGGGGTTACTTTTTCCTTTTTTCCTTGCTGTTGAAACGCCCATCTTAAGAACCAAGGTGAAACGGTTTGAGTTTCCAGAAAAGGCAATTGAGAGGTGTCATGGGAGAAGTTTTATGGAGTTCAACTTGGCATGGAGAAAGGGAAAAGAGGAAGGCTTTTCCCCCTCCCTCTCTCCTTGACACCAGAACTCGTGGACATGCAATGAAGCTGAATTTTGGGCGGTTCGGAGCGCATACGGCGCGCGGTCCGACTAGGGAATTGGCTCCCGCAGGAGGCCGTGAGATCGCCACCAACTTGAATGGCTTTCAGAGACGATTGGGCAAGCCCAGGGAGCGATGGGTGGCTAGCTGCCACGATGGCTCGGCTCTGCCTCCCTCGTCAGAGGCAGCAAAGCTTCAGAAGACCAGTTGTTGAAAACCACAGGAGGGGAGAGGGTTCTGGTGCTCAAAACCTGCTTGAGGGTTTCTCATTGGCTGGTCAACGGCCGGGGTGGGACATTGGTCTGATCTAGCCGGCTCTTATGCTGTGTGTGTGTGTGTATGTGTGTGCATGTGTTTGTAAGCTACAAGTACAGTGGTACCTCGGGTTAAGAACTTAATTCGTTCTGGAGGTCCATTCTTAACCTGAAACTGTTCTTAACCTGAGATAACACTTTAGCTAACGGGGCCTCCCGCTGCCGCCGCGCGATTTCTGTTCTCATCCTGAAGCAAAGTTCTTAACCTGGGGTACTATTTCTAGGTTAGCGGAGTCTGTAACTTAAAGCGTCTGTAACCTGAAGCGTCTGTATCCCAAGGTACCGCTGTATCCCTTGGATAACCCAAGCCACAGGTCCAATGACATGGGCGTAGCCAGGATTTATTTTAAGGGGGCAGGCTTTATGTTGGGGGGTGGGGCAGAACCGAGTTATCTACGATGCAATCGGTCAGTGAGTTAAGTATTTTTATTTACTTACTTGATTTGGGGGGGCGGGCGGGCAGCTGCCGCTTGAACCCCCGGTTATGCCCAAGACCTGTGATCCGCCTGGCAATGGATGTGACCCTCCTCCTCTCCCCTCTCCCTCCTCTCCACGTGGAGCCCCTGCCAAGTCCTGAATGATTCCGCCTTCGAGACTGCAGCAGGAGGGTGGGAGCTGTCCAGACGCCGCAGGAGAGCACGATTTCGAAAGGTATTTTGTACTCTTAATATAGGCCTACTTGGAAAAAAGCTACAGGATCCTTCTGTCACAACAACACACTACACAGTTCTCTTGCAGACACACCAGTGTGGGACAAGCCAAGTTTGGGAATTACTGATTTAAGAGTATTAACAAAACGCGTGAACGCCACATTAGCCCGAAAGCGAACTCTAGATTCTTTTCCACAGAAGATCTTTGCTGCTGAAGGATGGTGGCAACGTATTTCTAATGCAACCTTTTGATCAAAGAATGCTAAATTAACGAGGACAAATCATATTTTTTTTGCTGTTGGCTAAGAACTTTGCAAGTTTACTTTGGGTGTACCAAATATGTGTGGCAGAGTAGACAATTCATTTTACTTCGCGACAGTTTTGAGAAACTGCATGGTTTATAATTCATCACCTCCCTGCTCTTTCCCCCCTCGCCCAATTCCCAGAAATGTTCGCAAAGCAAAAATTTTAATACGTAGGAGCTTCTCAGAGGTTACAAAGTGCGATTCCTTCTATCACGCTTGAAATTTGTGTGTGAATTCACAGAACCAGAGAAGTGTAAGGTTGGAAAGGACTCTGAGGGTCATATAACCCACTATCTGAAATGCAGAGAGCCGTCCAACCCCTGTTTAAAAACAATCCGATGAGGGAGAGTCCACCACCTTCGGAGGAAGTCCGTTCCGCTGTCCAACAGCCGTTACTGTCAAAAGGTTCTTCCAGATGTTTAGGTAGAATTGTTGTTGTTGTTTAGTCGTTTAGTCGTGTCCGACTCTTCGTTACCCCATGGACCAGAGCACGCCAGGGACTCCTGTCTTCCACTGCCTCCCGCAGTTTGGTCAAACTCATGCTGGTAGCCTCGAGAACACTGTCCAACCATCTCGTCCTCTGTCGTCCCCTTCTCCTTGTGCCCTCCATCTTCCCCAACATCAGGGTCTTTTCCAGGGAGCCTTCTCTTCTCATGAGGTGGCCAAAGTATTGGAGCCTCAGCTTCAAGATCTGTCCTTCCAGTGAGCACTCAGGGCTGATTTCCTTAAGAATGGATCGGTTTGATCTTCTTGCAGTCCATGGGATTCTCAAGAGTCTCCTCCAGCACCAGAATTCAAAAGCATCAATTCTTCGGCGATCAGCCTTCTTTATTGTCCAGCTCTCACTTCCATACATCAGTACTGGGAAAACCGTAGCTTTAACTATACGGACCTTTGTCGGCAAGGTGATGTCTCTGCATTTTAAGATGCTGTCTAGGTTTGTCATTGCTTTTCTCCCAAAAAGCAGGCGTCTTTTAATTTCGTCACCAAATTAAAATTAGCTAGAATTACCTTTATTGTAATTTGAATCCATTGCTACCCACCTGAGCAGCAGAAAACAAACTTTCTCCATCATCCACGATCTGACAGCCCTTCAGGTATTTGGAGATGGTTATCATATCACCCCTCAAAACGCTCCGAGGTGTTTTATGGAAAGCAATCCAAAATTTGGGATTAAATAAGTAAACACAAACAAAACTTTGGAATCTCCCCTCCAGCCTAAAGCTAAACAACGAAAAAGTCAGGCAATCAGATTTATTTTAGCAAAAATGCAAAAGGGTATTGAGGTACATTTCACCCTAATCGGTCTCTAGCACACGGGACCACATGTTGGGCGATGAAATCTTGTCTCATCCCTTGGGCTGCTGAAGCAAAGCCTGTGCTGTCGCCGTTCGTCAGCAAATCCCTCGGCTTTCCCTCTGCTCTTCAAGAAAGGAGCTCCAGCGAGGCCACCCTGCTCATTGAACTCACAGCGCGATTTTATACACCTCTACTCAGAACTAAGCTCCACTGTGTTCAATGGGACTTACTCCCAGGTAAGTGCGTATAGCATTCAGCCTAAGGAAGCTGCTTTGAAATCACTCAGCGTGTGGAGAAGCCTGGAGATGCATTTACCACAAGGAAGCCTTGGAGAGACATTTAAAAAAAGAGAGAGAGAAAACTAGGGAAAGCCACTGAGAACTTGGGGACTTCTGACTCATTTTGCGGACCCTAATAATGGAGCTCTCTAGCAGTCGCCCTTGGTCTTTGCCCCATTCTATCCGCAAAAACCCCTGCGAGGTAGGCTAGGGTGAAAAGCAGCGGTCAAGTGGTACACACAAATACACATTAGTAGCAGTAGTCATTATATCCTGGCGTTCTCCGAAGCTGGGATTCAACGTGGTTTCGTGGAGTGGCTTCTTTTCCTCAACCTAGAAGCTCTCCACGCCCCCAGCCGTCGAAGAAAGGAGGGAGGAAAGCAAATGGGGGCGCAGTGTGGAAAGAGTAGTGGGAGATTTAGAGAGAGGGGATAGGCACGCTCGTGGAGACAGAGAAAAAACAGTCCCGTTGAGCTCCATGGAAACCTGAGCGGCCACCACCTGTGCGCATCAGGGCTTGGGTCCTGGGACATTGTTGCAGGCTGAAGTCCCCAGGATGAGGGACGGCGCCCTTCCAGATTTGTCTGGACTCATCCAGCATGACCAAGGGACTGGGGAGGGGGGCGGTACACCTTCAGGGTCAAAGGCTGCCCATCCTCGGCCTGCTAAGCAAGTTTACTTCGGAGTAAATATCGCCGAGTTCAGTTCAGGCGCCTTCCTACGGCTCTTAGGCCGTTGCCTTGCGTCTGGTTGATTGGAAAGCAAATCTCGCTGCCTGCTTCCGTGAGATTTCCTCCATCATCGCGCATAGAACTATATATAGGATGTTCTTTTTCTTAGGTTCTCAGTTCTATGCATGGTGCTATTATTATTTAGATTTATAGTCCAGCCCTTCACCCAGAACTTCCCCAGGGTGGTAAACTACATTCCTTTAGAAGAGAAGAAATCATTTAAACATAAAATCATTATAAGGGAGGCGGGAGAGAAACTGACGGCAAAGGAATATGGCTCTTTATATGAGCTGCATAACCTGTATATGATCTGAGAGTAAGCCTCATTGAACTTGCTTCTGCGCAAGCAAGCATAAAGATTTAAGCCGCTGCTTCATATTGAGGGAGCTCTCTGGGGCAAGGACTCCCAGTTCTAAGACTTGGGTCCAAGTGCATGAGACTATAAAATGTCTTGTGTCTAAAATGGCTTTGCTTTACCAATGAGCGGCTAGAGGCTCAACACTTCTGGGGGGAGGAAGAGGAAGGGAGTAGGGGAGAGTGCGACTTTCATTCATAACTTGATCCCCACCCCTTGCATATCTATCTATCTATCTCTCTTCTATCATCTCTATATCTATGTATCATCTTTTTAAAAATTATATTTTATTAAATTTTCAAAAGTTTAACATATGATCCTCTTGTTAGCTCAGTTGGTTAAAGCGCGGTGCTGATGACGTCAAGTTTGCAGGTTCGATCCCGTATGGGACAGCTGCATATTCCTGCCTTGCAAAGGGTTGGACTAGATGATCCTCAGGGTTCCTTCCTATTCCACAAATCTATGATTCTATGATATACACTCCAATACGTAATATTTTTTCTTTCTGTTTCGTGGACTTCCCACCCCGTTTTCCGTGGTGTTTCTTTTCTATCTTTTATAGCATGACAACAATACTTTAATCTCTAATTCCTTCTGCTGCTCATAGTTCAAATCTTGCTCGAGAGTCCATCCATACAGCCATCCCGCAGTTTCTTTAAGGTCTGGAAGGGTTGCAGAAGGAGTGAGATGAAAGCCTGCAGCCCTGTTCAGGGAGAATTATTTGCAAGTGAAAGGGCTCTGGGCAGAGAATGAATCGAGACTTCTCTTTTATCCACCGGAAAGGCCACGTGCGCTTTTCGAGCTGATCTCATCTAAGTCAACCCATATCCACAAAGCATTCCCCCTCGCCCCAATGCATCTAGGCATCTAGAGACAGCAATCTAGGCGCGGCAATGCAAGGAGACTTTTAAAAAGGCCCCCTCACTACAGCTTGCCACTATAGTAAATCTAACCGTCCGAACGCTCATGTAACGTGTGTTAACATTTAAGCTCAGGCGAGACGACCCAGTAACTCTCTCTGAAAAAAAACCAGCTTGGCAATGCCGCCCGCCTCCCCCTTCCGCCCTAGAGCAGAGCTCTGCAGGCTCGGTGCGGGCCAAGAGCCCCGCCCCGCTCTCGCTGAAAGTGCGCCTGTCATTTGTTGTCCGGGACGGGGCGGGCGCTGACTTTAGTTCCTGCACCCAATTGGATCAGCAGTGCGCGCACGGCAGCCGCGCGCGATCGAGGTGGGACCGCATCGCGTCTGCATGCCTCGTGGACGCGAGTGGCGCACTCGGGATGGGGACGCAGCAAGCCAACGCGCTGACTCGCGCTGCCGCCGAAGGGAACTTGGCACAAGCGCGCAGGCTGCTGGACGCGGGAGCGGACCCCAATGGCCTGAACTGCTTCGGCAGGAGCGCGATCCAGGTAGTGGTCAGGGCGGAACGGGCTGCCTGTTTGACAATAAAAGGAAAAAAGGTGCTCAAACCGCGGCTTTCCGTCCTAAGTGCGGGCACGTATCTGGCGCGCACGGCGCGCTTGGAAACGTTGCAATGGAACCCCGGGGGATGGGTCGGTAATAGGAGAGCGAGAGAATCGGGGGGGGGGGCGGGGGGAATCTGTGAGCTTACCTCTGCTGCTGTCAAGAAAGATTTTGGAGAACAGGACAAATAAACTTTCTTTGTCGTTGTCAAGGGGACAGATTTAGGAAATTGCCCATAAAAGGATTTCTCTTCTCTTTCGCACCATTTTTCTCCGTCTGCAGAAGGGTTTGCACACGCGCCCGCACTCACACTCCTATAACGTTTCTGAGTAGCCTAGCTCTGCTAAGCACCTTCTGAAATATATTTCCGCTTCAAGGGATTCCTCCCTTTTCAAAGTTATATATCTGCTTTCGTTTCTGGCGAGAGATATCCTCGCCTCCTCAACGAATCCCCGTATTAAATAGCAATTATCATCTTCTATCAAGCAGTCGTTTAGGACGTGCGCTTTCTCTAACTTACATTGGTCTTCAGCACGTGGCTTTCCGGGGAGGGCACGTACCCAGGAAATAAATAGAATTTCTTAACTGCCGGCGTGAATGGAGCGTCAAACTCCGGTCGCAAACGTGAGGCGATCGCGCCTTTGAGCAATTCGGGTTGCCTCGCAGCGGTCCCGACGGACCTCCATTTTAATCTGCATTATTCTACATCGCAGCAAAATGCTCTTGCCCACCTCCCAAAATGGCTGGCTTCTCTGTGGATGGCGACTGTTAGAAACACCCAGGAATTTGTGTGAAACCTATTTTTTTGCAAAGCTGATTTCTGTATTAATTTGTTGGAGGAAGAACAGACACTTTTGCAAAAATAAAATTAAAGGGTGGGGAGCCTCTGAGGCGCAAGACTGCCCGCGAGGTTTAAGCCCTGGAGAAAAGTATATATTATATTTCCTTTATAATAATAATCAGAAACCGGAAATGCTCCTAAAAAACATTATAACCAGAAAGGGGAAGGGGGTGTCTAGCTCTCGATCAACGCTTTGCGCAGAAGAGCTGATTCTTAGGCTGCAATCCTGTGCGCACTTAGCTGGAAGTAGGACCCTACTGAATTCGGTAGCACTTGCTTCTGAGTAGACATGGATAGGCATGCGCTATGAATGATCTTTTTCTCGATTTTTTTTGTTTTTGTTTTTTAAAAAGACACCTTTAACAACGCGAGTCCGTAGCTGGGAGTCAGCCCTATTGAATTTAATGGTACTTACTCGTGAGTAGGACAGTGCAGGTCAAATTATATGGAACTCAAGTATTTCTGAGAAGATATGGCTAGGCTTGGGCAGGGCTGTAAATTATTTTCCGATTTTTATTTTCATTTTTGCTCCTAACCGTTCTTGGAATTATATAGCTACCGGCGTTGCCGAATGTATCCCACAACTGTTTCCGTCTTTCAAATCTGATAAAAGTTCGACCATATAGTCCCATCAGCATGTGTCTCAGTATGGAGAAAGAGTGTCCCTCGGTGGTACAGCACAATATTTGCGTGGCGGGGTTGACTGTCCTCGAGAAATCGCTGGCTCAAAGCCTGGAGAGCCGACTCCAAATACACTGCGATCTGCTCACAGTACAGTGGTACCTCGGGTTACATACGCTTCAGGTTACAGACTCCGCTAACCCAGAAATAGTGCTTCAGGTTAAGAACTTTGCTTCAGGATGAGAACAGAAATCGCGCGGCGGCAGCGGGAGGTCCCATTAGCTAAAGTGGTGCTTCAGGTTAAGAACAGTTTCAGGTTAAGAACGGACCTCTGGAACGAATGAAGTACTTAACCCGAGGTACCACTGTATAAAAAACCTGACAGTGGACCAAAGTTGTTGAGCTTTTGTTAGGAAGCCCAAGTTTCCCCCCTATTTTTATTGGTGGGGGGGAGATCACTGAGGGGCCAAAGATCTACCAGGATCTACCGGTAGATCACGATCATGCCAGGTCAGTGTAAAGAAAGGCTTCGCTAGATGGACCAGAGGTTTGACGGAGGATGGACCAGCGCCTAGGCGCGTTCCCAGCAGTGAGTAAGACCAGCACCCTCCGTTTCCTTCTCAAAACAGCGACCCTTGCAAGGCAAACTGCTCCCCCGCTCCTCATCGCAATCCATCTGAATTCAATTGTGGTTTTCAGTTCGATTCCTTTGCGGAGGAGGGTGTAAAACGGAGGCTTGACATCAATAAATCTACTCAATAAATCTACTCAATCTAACGTTGAGATTCTCGCGTTAATAAAGTCCCACTAACTGAAACCACTCCTAAGTCAATTATTTCGTATTGTAACTTTTTTAAAAAATGTGTTACTTATTTAGAGGTACGGGGAAAGGGTCGGCAGGAGCTGCTCTACAGCTGAGCGATCTTAAACCTCCTCGGCTCCGACGGCAGTCGAATCGCCCATTGAGGTTTCCCCGATTGACACAACGGAGAGACAGCGGTGGATGGATGTTGTTTCTTGATTTCAGTTTGATTATCCAGTTAGTACAAGTGAGATACCAAAATTACTACCGTAAGAGACACGCGGTGCTTTCAGAATTATCAAATGGAACTGGGCATTTGTTCTTTTTGACAGTGCTCAAGGGCAGGATCCATCTAAGGTTGCGCTAAAGTTGAGAGCCATAGCTGTCAACTTTCCCCCCTTTTCCGAATAGGATTCCTCGCAAGAAAAGGGAAAAGTTGACAGCTATGTCCTGAGCCTGTCCACTTAGAAGTAAGACTCGCTAGGTCTCCATTCCCTCGTCCCCGAAATACCTATGCCAAAAGATTCAGGTAGGTAGCCGTGTTGGTCTGACGCAGTAGAAATATATATTTAAAATATTCTAAAATGTCAACAGGTCTACCACACCTATCAGCCAATCACCCATTCCCACCACCCTTCTGAGTAATACCTCTCCCCACCCTCTCACTATATATATTAAGGTCTGGTGACTTCTGTTTCAGTGTATCTGAAGAAGTGGGCATGCACACGAGAGCTCATACCAAGAACAAACTTAGTTGGTCTTTAAGGTGCTACTGGGCAATTAAAAAATAAATAAATAAATTCTACGCCAAAAGATTAGTGAAATTTAAGGTTGCAATCCTGCCCTTACAGACCTGGGAATAAGTCCCACTGAATTTAATAGGATTCTGAGTAGACCTGGTTAGGATTCTGCGGTAAATCTCATTGAACTAGTATACACTTGCCTGAGAGTAACCCCCTTTCTGCTTAATGAGGCTTATTTGGAGAGTGGTTGTATATTATTATTATTATTATTATTATTATTATTATTATTATTATTCTACCACTCTTCATCCTTAGATCTCAGGGTAGTTCACAACATAAAATTCCAATATTAAAAACCACAAAGTACACAATAAAAATAAGAACAAAACTTGTCTGTGGTTAAGAAAGTGAAATACCTGGGGATTAACATGACAGCAAAAAACTGGAATTTATTTAAAGATAACTATGAAAAATGTTGGGCTGAAGTGAAAAAAGATTTAGAAATTTGGTCAAATTTGAAGCTTTCACTGCTGGGCCGTATTGCTGTGGTAAAAATGAATGTATTGCCTAGAATGTTGTTTTTGTTTCAAACATTGCAAATTGTGGACAAAATGGACTGTTTCAAGAGGTGGCAGAGAGATATTTCTAGATTTGTCTGGCAGGGCAAGAAGCCCAGAATAAAATTTAAAATACTAACAGATGCAAAGGAAAGAGGTGGATTTGCCCTGCCAGACCTTAAACTTTATTATGAATCAGCAGCTTTTTGCTGGTTGAAAGAATGGCTGCTTCTTGAAAACACTGACATTTTGGATCTAGAAGGTTTTAACAATGTATTTGGATGGCATGCATATTTGTGGTATGATAAGGTCAAAGCACATAAAGCATTTAAAAATCATATTGTCAGGAAAGCTTTGTTTAATGTTTGGATAAGATATAAGGACTTATTGGAAAATAAAACCCCAAGGTGGCTGTCACCGATGGAAGCGAAAGCCTTGAAAAAGCTCAATAAGGAGGTCAAATGGCCGAAATATTGGGAAATTTTAGAACAAGATGGAGATAGATTGAAACTGCAGAGTTTTGAAAAACTAAAAACAAAGTGCGAGACTGGCTTCATTATTATCAGATAATGGAGGCATACAATTTGGACAAGAAAATTGGCTTCCAGGTGGAAAAATCAAAATTAGAAACAGAACTGTTAGAACCCAAAACTAAGAATTTGTCAAGAATGTATAACTTGCTGCTGAAATGGAATACTCAGGATGAAACGGTGAAATCTGCTATGATTAAATGGGCACAAGATGTTGGACATAATATTATGTTTGCTGACTGGGAACAGTTATGGACCACAGGTATGAAGTTTACGGCATGTAATGCCCTAAGAGAGAATATTATGAAAATGATATACAGGTGGTACATAACCCCAGTCAAGCTTGCAAAAATCTACCATTTGCCCGATAATAAATGTTGGAAATGTAAAGAAACTGAAGGTACATTCTTTCACCTTTGGTGGACGTGCCCAAGGATTAAGGTTTTCTGGGAGATGATTTATAATGAATTAAAAAAGGTATTTAAATATACCTTCTTGAAGAAACTAGAGGCTTTTCTCCTGGGCATAGTCGACCAATCGGTGTTAAAGAAGGACAGAACTTTCTTTATGTATGCTACAACAGCAGCAAGAATACTTATTGCAAAGCATTGGAAGACACAAGATCTACCCACACTGGAGGAATGGCAGATGAAAATGATGGACTATATGGAATTGACGGAAATGACTGGCAGAATCCGAGACCAGGGAGAAGAGTCGGTGGAAGAAGATTGGAAGAAATTTAAAGACTACTTACAGAAATATTGTAAAATTAATGAATGTTAGAATGATGACGGATTGAAGTTAAGCGGTTTCTAGCAGTAATGGTTAAAAGAATGGAAAAATTGGTTTTTAATAGGTAAAAATTTAATGTTATAATATATTAAGACTAAAGATCAGGATTAAAAAGGAGGGAAAGAAATTGCTGGACTAACAAACTGAATTGGAATACAAAAGAGGGAGGTATGAGGAGGTCCGGGAAACAAGTAAACGTAAAAGAAGTGATGAAAAGACGGAATTGTTTTTAACTGTTTTTTTCTTTTTTCTTTTTGTATTTTGTATTGTGTATTTTTCTTTTTATTGTTAATTTTTTTCTTCTTTTATTATTATTAATGTGATCATTTTCTTGTGAAACTTTAATAAATATTATTTAAAAATAAAAAAATAAAAAAATAAAAATAAGAACAAAACCAAACCGATAATCCCCACTCCCACAATTTACATTTACACCCCAACTTTCCTCAAAGGACCTCAAGGATGGAGTACAACTTCTCCCTGTGAGGTAGGTTAGGTTGAGAGGGAGTGACTGGCCGAAGGTCCCCCAGTGACCTTCATATATATATATATATATATATATTCATTCTATCGTGAAATTAATAAAATAATATCTATAACTATTTGTGTGTGTGTGTGTGTGTGTGTGTGTGTGTGTGTGTTTGTGTGTGTGTTTATTAAATGGTTTTCTTGGGTCACAATAGAACATACAGTGTCTTTGTTTTCAGAGACTGATTCAAACAAATCAGTCATATTCATAGCGAGACATTCCTGTTACAGGCAATATGGGTTTGAGGAAAAGGAGAAGAGGGGAGGAAAGGGGAAGGAATTAAAATTTCATTCTTGTACATAGTATATCAGGAAAGCTTTTTAGTCAGCATCACATAAACGCTTACTTTATTTATGGCTGGCTGGGGCGGCGGCGGAGAAACAAGAGGTCCCACGCGTGGTTGGTTTGCTGTGTGCTTTGTTTGGTGTAGGGGTTGCCTTAATGGGGATTTAAGGCCTCGTTTCCCGGATCCTAGCCTAGCACCCTAACCACTACACCACACTGCCTCTCTTGCACTGTACCATTGCACTGTCAATCTGCATCCAACCCCAAGGGCTGAATTATTATTTCACTCTCTCTGTGGCGCTGGGTGAGCTCCCTTTCCACCTATTCAGTCCTGTTTTATTATTATTATTATTATTATTATTATTATTATTATTATTATTATTAATATTATCTCCTGCTATTATTTTGATGCCAAGTCTGGATCCATCCCTTAAGGAGATGAACCTGGAGTAGCTCACAGCAGCCCCTCGGTCTTGGGGGTGTTGTTGTTGTTTAGTCATTTAGTCGTGTTCGACTCTTCGTGACCCCATGGACCAGAGCATGCCAGGCACTCCTGTCTTCCACTGCGTCCCGCAGTTTGGTCAAACTCATGCTGGTAGCTTCGAGAACACTGTCCAACCATCTCGTCCTCTGTCGTCCCCTTCTCCTTGTGCCCTCCATCTTTCCCAACATCAGGGACTTTTCCAGGGAGTCTTTTCTTCTCATGAGGTGGCCAAAGTCTTGGAGCCTCAGTTTCAGGATCTGTCCTTCCAGTGAGCACTCAGGGCTGATTTCCTTAAGAATGGAGAGGTTTGATCTTCTTGCAGTCCACGGGACTCTTTTTTTTTTTTAATTAATATTTATTAAAGTTTCACAGAAAAGGAATCACATTAATAAAAAAGGAAAATTTAAAAATAAAAAGAAAAATACACAATACAAAATACAAAAAGGAAAAAGAAAAAACAATTAAAAACAATTCCGTCTTTTCATAACTTCTTTTACATTTACTTGTTTCCCGGACCTCCTCATACCTCCCTCTTTTGTATTCCAATTCAATTTGTTAGTCCAGCAATTTCTTTCCCTCCTTTTTAGTCCCAATCCTTAATCCTAATATATTATAACATTAAGTTTTTACCTATTAAAAACCAATTTTTCCATTCTTTTAACCTTTTTAATCCTAATCCTTAATCTTGATATATTTATAACTTTAAAACCTGTACAGCTAGAAGCCACTTAGCTTCAATCCAACATCACTCTAACATTCATTAATTTTGCAATATTTCTGTAAATAATCTTTAAATTTCTTCCAATCTTCTTCCACCGACTCTTCTCCCTGGTCACGGATTCTGCCAGTCATTTCCGCCAATTCCATGTAGTCCATCATTTTCATCTGCCATTCCTCCAGTGTGGGTAGCTCTTGTGTCTTCCAATACTTTGCGATGAGTATTCTTGCTGCTGTTGTAGCATACCTAAAAAAGTTCTATCCTTTTTAACACCAATTGGCCGACTATGCCCAGGAGAAAGGCCTCTGGTTTCTTCAAGAAGGTATATTTAAATACCTTTTTAATTCATTATATATCATCTCCCAGAAAGCCTTAATCTTTGGGCACGTCCACCAAAGATGAAAAATGTACCTTCAGTTTCTTTACATTTCCAACATTTATTATCAGGCAAATGGTAGATTTTTGCAAGCTTGACTGGGGTTATGTACCACCTGTATATCATTTTCATAATATTCTCTCTTAGGGCATTACATGCCGTAAACTTCATACCTGTGGTCCATAACTGTTCCCAGTCAGCGAACATGATGTTATGTCCAACATCTTGTGCCCATTTAATCATAGCAGATTTCACCGTTTCATCCTGAGTATTCCATTTCAGCAGCAAGTTATACATTCTTGACAAATTCTTAGTTTTGGGTTCTAACAGTTCTGTTTCTAATTTTGATTTTTCCACCTGGAAGCCAATTTTCTTATCCAAATTGTATGCCTCCATTATCTGATAATAATGAAGCCAGTCTCGCACTTTGTTTTTTAGTTTTTCAAAACTCTGCAATTTCAATCTGTCTCCATCTTGTTCCAAAATTTCCCAATATTTTGGCCATTTGACCTCCATATTGAGCTTTTTCAAGGCTTTCACTTCCATTGGTGACAGCCACCTTGGAGTTTTGTTTTCCAATAAATCCTTGTATCTTATCCAAACATTAAACAGTGCTTTCCTGACAATATGGTTTTTAAATGCTCTATGCGCTTTGACCTTGTCATACCACAGATATGCATGCCCAGTCCACGGGACTCTCAAGTGTTTCCTCCAGCACCATAATTCAAAAGCATCAGTTCTTCGGCGATCAGCCTTCTTTATGGTCAAGCTCTCACTTCCATACATCACTACTGGGAAAACCATAGCTTTAACTATACGGACCTTTGTTGGCAAGGTGATGTCTCTGCTTTTTAAGATGCTATCTAGGTTTGTCATTGCTTTTCTCGCAAGAAGCAGGCGTCTTTTAATTTCGTGGCTGCTGTCACCATCTGCAGTGATCATGGAGCCCAAGAAAGTAAAATCTCTCAATGCCTCCATTTCTTCCCCTTCCTGGTCGTGGGGGTACCTCCGCTTTAATTCAGAACACTGAAAATGGAATACATAGAATCGGACCACGCAGCTAGTGGCAATCCTAGGCGGAGCGCGGCGCTGGCGCCTGATTGACGGCGCATCTCTTCTCCTTTGCCTTCTAGGTCATGAGGATGGGGGACCCGCGCGTGGCCGAGCTGCTGCTTCGATGGGGAGCGGATCCCAACGTGCCCGATCCCTCCACCGGCTCCTGCCCCGCGCACGACGCAGCCCGGGAAGGCTTCCTGGACACGCTGCGCGTGCTGCGCTCAGGCGGAGCGCGACTCGACCTGCCCGACCGCAGAGGGCGCCTCCCGGTGGACGTGGCTGAAGAGAATGGGCACCGCCACGTCGTGCGTTATCTGGCCCGGCTGGCGATCGGGGAATCCTGGAGATAATCCAGCAACGATCTAATGCTATCGTCAATGTTGCTTATGCTTATGGTAGCACTTCTCCCTTGCATTATTTTGCATGGGTCTTCTTTGCCAAAAAATAAAGTTTTTTTTGCAGTAAGTTGCCCCTTCCTTCCTTCCTTCCTTCCTTTCTCAGCAACAGCCGGAGGGCCTACTGTTCCCAATGCCTGTTTCAGAGCAAGACACACATTTAAAGAGGACCCCCCCCCCCAACGCTGCAAAATATATTTCCGGGGGCGGGGGGATCAGGCTCACGCTGTTCATTTGCTGTCCTTTATGCCTGCAGTTGCGATACAGGGCACACACACAAAAAGAGTTCCAGTTAAGGGGCAGGAAAAAGGAGGAGTTTATAATACTTAAAATAAGTCAGTTGGAATAAGACGTTTGTTCCCCACACCAAGCCCGACGCGGATTTGAATTGCAGAAACTAGAGTTTGTAACATTGCAACCGCATAAGCATTCAGGGGCGAGCAAACTCCTGTTGGCAGTCGAAGGGCCTTACTTGTGAGTAGACATGTATAGGATCCAGCAATGCAAAACACGCTTATCTGGGAATAAGCATCTTAGTAGAGAGGATCTCATTGTCTGGCCTTCCAAGGTCCAGATCATGATTAGACGGGGAGGAAATCCAGGCGGTGAGGAGTTCGAATCCTGCAGGTCCTTCTGGTGGGAGCATCTCCTTTTGGCTTTCCTCTACAAATTTATCTGTAGATGGCTTAGAGAGCTCTTTGCACAAGCGGTTTAGAAATCATCTTAAGGACGTAAATAAAATTAGAGAGGATTTATTTAGAATATAGCTTCTCCCAGAAAGCCTTTCTTTAAGAGGCACCACTGACCACCACTGTCCATTTTTCCTACCCGAGTAGAGTGATACATATTTAACACGTATCGCTCTCTCCTCTCTGCTCGCATGGGCCGAAGGCTGCTAACTGTGCTGACCTTAGTCAAAATAGAGGCCACATACAAAACTACGCGCACTTAAAATTTCTATTGAAATAAATGGTTTCAACGCGCGTTTCTGAATTATGGCTGTGTCGTGCATGCTATTTCCTCTTTATTTAATTTTTTAAAAAAATGTCTGTACTATGCTATTTCCACTTCATTTACTTAAAAAAAAACCTCTTTACTGCGTCTTGGGCCTCAGGAGCGCAACGCAGAATAAGTGGAGGGGAACTGTCTAAGTATGCTGACATCCGATGTCCTTTTAAATTGAGGGTTGTTCTTGTTTTTATTTTGTATTATGTATTTTTTATATTGTGAACCGCCCTGAGCTCTGGGGATATACGGCGTTATCTTATAATAATAATAATAATAATAATAATAATAATAATAATAATAATTTATTATCTTAACAACAACAACAATGTCACACAACCCTCCACCCCGCCGCCTCCCACTCCCCCCTCCTATTGAGCATTCCCACGTTATTATAATTCTAGAGAAGTGCCGTGTGAGGCGAACCAGCAGCAGATGACTGTCGCTGGATGAACCCCTTCACACGATCAAGAAAAGGAGGAATGATAATTTCACGCTAAGCAGCCAACGTAAACATACACTGTCAGTTTCTAGGCTATGGTCAAGTGCAAGAGCGACAAACCATTGTCGAGAATGAAGCTATTTTGTTCATTATTATCCTTTGGCAGGATAAGTCAATAGCCCCGTCCCTTTTCGAGCCAAAGGACTATCAAGGAATGATTGTTCACGCGCAAGGATCGGACAAGCGAAGGGATTGATCCCTTTGAGCAGCCGGACTTTCAAAACAAAGCAAAAAAAGTGGGAGTATGCATAGTTCTGATTGTTATGGAAATCTAAACCTCGTTAGGGGCGAAAAAGATAATTATGCCACCACACTAATTAACTGATCCGGCTTTGAATGGGTTGCTTTTAAAGAAAAAGAAAGAGAGAAGTTAACCGTTTCTTTAGGGAAATATACCTATCTATCATCTATATCATCTATCTATATCTACCTACCTACCTACCTACCTACCTACCTACCTACCTATCATCTCTCTCTCTCTCTCTCTCTCTCTCTCTCTCTCTCTCTCTCTCCAGCCAGCCACACACAGATGAATCAGGCAGGGCGCCTCCAGGGGGGTCCCTCTCATTGCAGGCGAAGGATCTCTTCCTCCTTTAGGATGGCAAGCGTGGAGGGCGGCGGTTACAGGTGGGTCCCCGCCCTCCCGTTCATTTTAACGACACATAAATAATACCAATAATACAACTGCTAATAATCCACGCAAGTCTGAAGAGAGGAAGGCGGTGCTCAGTTGCAGAGGGGAGGGAGCGGGGCTATTTGCCGTCCCCTGCTGGGGAAAGGAGGAAAGGAGGTGGGGGATGCGGAAAAGGGATGCAGGGGCGCAGCCAGGGAGCAGGGGCGCAGCCAGGATTTAAGTTTGGGGGGGGGAAGGCAGGACACCCTCCTTTCGCCATCCTCTGTCTGGCTCTGTGTAGTGGATTCGAAATGAAATGTCTCAACAACAGTGGTTTTACATTACAGTGGTCCCTTGGTTCTCGAACTTAATCCATTCCGGAAGTCCGTTCCAAAACCAAAACGTGCCAAAACTCAGCAAAGAGCAGTTAAAAGAGCTGAACATAGCAGACCTAGTAAAAGAGGCAGAAATATTTTACCCCACCACAAAAAAGGCTCTGCTCATCTCTTGCTCAGCCATGCACCACTTGTTCCATACAGCAGTCATTACGCACCTTCCGGAGAGTAACGACCTGGGGCTAAGGCTTGACACCATCCAGGAGAAGGAAAGCTTTGTCCCATAACCTCTGATGCCTTGCAGCTATATTCCTTTGTGAGAAAGCCTTCAGGAGCAAACCTGGAAGAAAAATTGGTACCCACTGCCTTGGGAGAAGAGGCTAAGGAGGAAACCCAACACAAATCCCGAGTGGAGTTCCAGATGGTTGGGTGGCATCTTGTATGCCTTCTTCCAGCAACTTCTGCAGCCAAGCTGGTGCCAAATGTATTGCTCTGCTTGAGGCTGGGAGGAGGGACTGGCCAGTGTCAGGCAGTGCCGGATTTACGCATAAGCTAAACAAGCTATAGCTTAGGGCCCCACTCTCTTGCCCCCCCCCCAATATACTTCTTCTTAATTGTATTTCACCATTAAGATATCTCCTCTTAATTGTATTTCAGTTCAACAATTTCTTTGATAAAATACATGTTTTGTTATGTGCAAATGGCTTGAGATACCTATTAGGTCCATAAATTACCATATAGCATATATTCAACACAAAAAACAGTGACAGTTTGTTGTTGACAAAGGACAGCTGGACCTAGAAAGGGCCCCATTACCTTCAGGAGCTTAAAGGTAAAAGTAAAGGGACCCCTGACCATTAGGTCCAGTCGTGGTCGACTCTGGAGTTGCGGCGCTCATCTCGCTTTACTGGCTGAGGGAGCCGGTGTACAGCTTCCGGGTCATGTGGCCAGCATGACTAAGCCGCTTCTGGCGAACCAGAGCAGCGCACAGAAACGCCGTTTACCTTCCCGCCGGAGCGGTACCTATTTATCTACTTGCACTTTGACGTGCTTTCAAATTGCTAGATTGGCAGGAGCTGGGACCAAGCAATGCGAGCTCACCCCACCGTGGGGATTCAAACTGCCAACCTTCTGATTGGCAAGTCCTAGGCTCAGTGGTTTAACCCACAGCGCCACCCACATCCTCATCAAACCTAAATCCAGCCCTGGTGTCAGGCTTCATGGAATCCTATTTCCCACCCTCACAGTAGGCTGCCAGTAATGGATGGACAAGGAGTTCTTACCAATGTCTTTTATTCAATATTCACAGAGAGAGGCTTAGAAATGTCGCTTCTTGGGGTAATGGTGTTGTTCCAAGTAATCTCCTCCCCGCTTCCCTTCTCAGTCGTCAACAGCACCAGCCCCCTTACGAAGGCTGCTGAAGGCTAATTGCCTCTTAGCCCTCTGTTCTCCTACTTTCACTGCTCACCATGTTGTGGGAGAAGAGGGGGGGGGTCTGGAATGTTCTCTAGTCAACCTGGTTCTCCAACTCTGCTCCTCCCCACTCCTCTTCTCCCGTTATTTCCCAGCTTTGCCCTTCTTCTGTCTCTGAACTATGACCCTCTGCAAACCACCACTGTAAATCTATACAGTGGTACCTCGGGTTACATATGCTTCAGGTTACATACGCTTCAGGTTACAGACTCTGCTAACCCAGAAATAGTGCTTCAGGTTAAGAACTTTGCTTCAGGATGAGAACAGAAATTGTGCTCCGGCGGCGCGGCGGCAGCAGGAGGCCCCACTAGCTAAAGTGGTGCTTCAGGTTAAGAACAGTTTCAGGTTAAGTACGGACCTCTGGAACGAATTAAGTACTTAACCCGAGGTACCACCGTACTGTCCTTCCCTTCTCGGGAAGGTTTCTTTCTCCAATGTCCTGTCCCTGACAGGCAGCCTAGGACCTTCAGGCACACTGCCCTGGCTTGCACCCTGGGAGGTCCCTTCAGCGCAGCTAATGCAGCAAAAACAGGGCAGGAGGCAGCAGTTATGAGTTACCAGTCTCTGCAGCCACAGCAGGCGTCTCCAGTTTGACTTCATGCCTGGATGCACACTCCATTATCTCTCAAGACAGATAGATGCCAACAAACAACCGTTAGTACATTTATTTCCTCTTTTTTAGCAAATAATGGCAGGTGAGTGAGAGATTTTACTTTCTTGGGCTCCATGATCACTGCAGATGGTGACAGCAGTCACGAAATTAAAAGACGCCTGCTTCTGGGGAGAAATGCAACGACAAACCTAGACAGCATCTTCAAAAGCAGAGACATCACCTTGCCGACAAAGGTCTGTTAAAGCCATGGTTTTCCCTGTAGTAATGTATGGAAGTGAGAGCTGGACCATAAAGGCGGCGGATCACCGTAGAATTGATGCTTTTGAATTATGGTGCTGGAGGAAACTCTTGAGAGTCCCATGGACTGCAAGAAGATCAAATCTATCCATTCTTAAGGAAATCAGCCCTGAGTGCTCACTGGAAGGACAGATCCCGTGTTCTTGAAGCTACAAACATGAGTTTGACCAAACTGCGGGAGGCAGTGGAAGACAGGAGTGCCTGGCATACTCTGGTCCATGGGGTCACGAAGAGTTGGACACGACTAAACAACAACAGCCCTGTGTGCTTTCCCCCCTGCCAGTGCCCAAGCAGATGTTTTGGGGAAGCTCACCAGAAGGGGAGCAGGGCATTAGTCTTCTTGCTTGTATTCCCAAGCAATTGCATTCAGAGGCGTATTTCCTCTGAGCTTCGCTGGCCTCATGGCCAGCAGCAACTTCATTCTGCACAAATAAAAAAATGGGTGACTCTAGCGCAGATATTTTCAAAAGGATATTCTGAGGAGCTCTGCAGCATTGATACTTCCTAGAGGTCCTTCAAAGACTTCTTCTTCTTTGGCGATCCCTTGTAGTCGAGTAAGATTGTCTTCCATAAACACGGTTTTAACAATGAGTCCCTAAGTGACTGTGGACGCCAATTCTGGATCCGCACGTCCTTCCACAGAGGGGACATTGGTTTCCAAGCGGGAGTTGATCCCGGCGAGGGGTTGCCAAGCGTGCCTTCCAGTGTGGTGTAGTGGTTAAGAGCGGTAGACTCGTAATCTGGGGAACCGGGTTCGTGTCTCCGCTCCTCCACATGCAGCTGCTGGGTGACCTTGAGCTAGTCACACTTCTCTGAAGTCTCTCAGCCCAACTCACCTCACAGAGTGTTTCTTGTGGGGGAGGAAGGGAAAGGAGAATGTTTGAGACTCCTTCGGGTAGTGATAAAGCGGGATATCAAATCCAAACTTCTCTTCTTAGCACATTTCTCCCTTTCGTCCTGAGTTTGAGCGTCTTCAAAGCCCATGACACGTTTCGTAAAGGCTGTTCTCCAATTGGAGCGCTCGCAGGCCAGTGTTTCCCAATTGTTGGTATTCATACTACTTTTTTTTTTTTTTTTTAAATTGCCTTGAGACAGTCTTTAAACCTCTTTTGTTGACCACCAGCATTACGCTTTCCATTTTAAAGTTCAGAATAGAATGGTTGCTTTGGAAGACTATGATCAGACATCCAAACAACATGACCAGTCCAACAAAGTTGGTGTTGAAGAATCATTGCTTCAACACTGGTGATCTTTGCTTCTTCCTGTACACTCGTATTAGTTCACCTGTCTTCCCAAGTGATGTGTAATTTTTTTTCAGAGACACCGTTGATAGACTAGATAAATAATGGTGTGCAACCTCTTCTGAAGCACAGCTTGCCCGTCACTACTAACCTTCCCCTGTAGTGTGTAGCTGCGATGATCTTTGCTTATTCCAGTAAAAGGTAAAGGACCCCTGGAGGGTTAAGTCCAGTCAAACTTGACTGAGTGCAACACTCAGTGTACTGGAAAAAGCAAATATCAGTGTTGAAGCAATGATTCTTCAACATCAACTTAATTGGACTGGTCATGTTTGGATGCCTGATTATCATCTTCCAAAGCAACTACTCTATTCCTAACTTAAGAATGGAAAGCAAAATACCAGTGGACAATAAAAGAGGTTTAAAGATGCTCTCAAGGCAAATCTTTTTTTAAAAAAATGTTATAAACACTGACACCTGGGAAGCACTGGGCTGCGAGTGCTCCAGTTGGAGAACAGCCTTCACCAAAGGTGTCATGGACTTTGAAGAAGCACAAACTCAGGACAAATGGGAGAAATGAGCTAAGAGGAGAGCATGTTTGGCAAACCCTCACCATGATCAACTCCCATCCGGAAACCTATGTCCCCACTGTGGAAGGACGTGTAGATCCAGAATTGGCCTCTACAGTCCCTTACGGACTCATTGTTAAAACCGTGTTTATGGAAGACAATTTTACTCGGCTACGAGTGATCGCCAAAGAAGAAGCAGCAGCTGCGGAACAAACTTCAGCTGTGCTTTTGGAACCGATCTGCTCAGCTAGGGCAAAAGTGAGACCTGTTTGGCTTCACCAGTGCCCGGCACAAACTCAGTGCCTATTTCATTCCTCAGAATCCTCTACAGTGGCAAGAGTTTTAGGACATGGGTGGGCAAACTAAGGCTATGGGACTGGATCCAGCCCAAACGCCTTCTAAATCCAGCCTGCAGACGGTCCAGGAATCAGCATGTTTTTACATGAGTAGAATGTGTCCTTTTATTTAAAATACATCTCTGGTTATTTGTGGGGCATAGAAATTCATTCATTATTATTTTCCAAAATATAGTCCGGCCCCCACAAGGTCTGAGGGACAGGGGACCGGCCCCCTGCTGAAAAAGTTTGCTGACCCCTGTTCTAGGACATACAAGCCAATGTGGAAAAGGTTTAAAAATCACTGTTTTAAAGCATTGTGTTTAAGTCTTTCTTACTCTGGTGGAAGTAGTTCTAAAACCATTCTCTCTATACTGATTGAAGGTGCTGATTTAATACGTCTGCGTAGACAAAACAGGGCTATTGAGGGACCAGCAAAGTTTTCAGAAGTTGAAACACCTGTAATTTCCTTTGTTTGTTGAGTTCAGGAGTAAGTGCCAATCCTTGTGTGACCAAAAGAAAATAAAAGGGGAAATCCATGTATGAAAGAGAGGCCTTAACAGGCTTGGAGGACTTCCAGTGTTTGCATTATTATTATTTTTTTACTTCTGGCAAATGATGTTATGTGTAGGTAGAAGCAACCTTTGAGGTGTGTCTGTGCACTCTCCAAAAGTGTGCTGGCAAGATAGTAGCTGTAGAGTTGAGGGCTGGTGCACTCATCATAAGAGAAATATTCACTGAGTAGTCGGTGGCAGAAAAAAGCCACTAAACCGTAGCCTAGTGCAAACCATCCTGGACCTTCAGGCACTTCCTTCTCCTTGGTTGGGGTTGGGCTGTACTTGCAGACACAAGTGCCAACTCTGCCTCTGTGCTTCTCTGGCGTCAACATTTATAGGACCCAATAATGCAACACACAACAGCAGGTGCTCCTCACCCTCATCGTCCAATGTGATTGTTGTTGTTGCTTAGTCGTTTAGTCGTGTCGGACTCTTCGTGACCCCATGGACCAGAGCACGCTAGGCACTCCTGTCTTCCACTGCCTCCCCCAGTTTGGTCAAACTCATGCTGGTAGCTTCGAGAACACTGTCCAACCATCTCGTCCTCGGTTGTCCCCTTCTACTTGTGCCCTCCATCTTTCCCAACATCAGGGTCTTTTACAGGGAGTCTTCTCTTCTCATGAGGTGGCCAAAGTATTGGAGCCTCAGCTTCAGGATCTGTCCTTCCAGTGAGCACTCAGGGCTGATTTCCTTCAGAATGGATAGGTTTGATCTTCTTGCAGTCCATGGGACTCTCAAGAGTCTCCTCCAGCAGCATAATTCAAAAGCATCAATTCTTTGGCGATGAGCCTTCTTTATGGTCCAGCTCTCACTTCCATACATCACTACTGGGAAAACCATAGCTTTAACTATACGGACCTTTGCATGGATCACTGCCTTGCTGTGGCAAAGGGGCTTGAATAACTCGAGAAGCTATGAGCTGTGCCGTGCAAGATGGACAGGTCATAGTGGAGAGTTTTAACCAAACATGATCCACCTGGAGCAGGAACCGGCAAGCCACTCCAGTATCCCTGCCAAGAAAACTCCATGGACAAAGACAACAGGCACACAGGGCTAGATAAGGCTTTTGTCTGATTCGTCAGGTCTCTTTTTAATAATCAGTAAAGGCAACTGACAAGAGAATCTTTCCTATTTGTGGACAAGGGTGGCACCAAAAATGTTGGCTTTTGGAACTTCAAACCTGAGCATTCAGCCTTGTACTTGTTTCCCAGGCCAAGTGAAATGTTTGGATTTATAGGAATTAGGTCAGAAGGGGATTCACAACCAAGTCAGAAGCCTGCGTTGCCCAAGCATGCAGTGTATTAAGCAAATTTCCTTCCGCCAAACAAGTTAGGGAAAACCCAGAGAGCCGGCTGCATCAACAAAAACAGTTCCTGCAGTCTGCAAAGAGCAATCCAGCTATAATGCTGGCATTCGTTTATCTTCCTCTATACGTAGAAACGCAAGACTGTCGTCGCACAGGCCTCATTGGAAGATTCGTAGTGCCACACCACGCCCCTTGGATTTGCATGAAGGCAGGGAAGGGCAGAGGGTCAAAGGAGAAGGCAGGTTTTAAAATGGCGGTTTAAACGAATAAAAGAGGCCTGAATAAAGGTACACATGCGCTGGAAGGATACTGGAGGGGGGCACTTGGAGGAGCTGGAAGGTTATGGGGATCTTGGAGGAGCTGAAAGGATGTGGGGCTGGAAGGGGCTGTGAGAATATGGGACCTTGGAGAAGCTGTGGGGGGGATTGAAGATGTGAGGGAATGGCGGGTTGGGGTTTGGTGGGGGTAGGCAAGGTTGGTGAGCAACAGAAACAGCGGTAGCAGTTCCTAGGTGTTGTGATGAAAGCAGGGTGGGGTGTTGTTTTTTTGGTCTCAGAGCAATTAGGAGAGAATACTAATTAAATAACTTTCGCCACAAAGACAGGTATCCATTCTAACATTTATGAACTGGATTTTAAAGAGCTATGTGTTCTTTTTTTCCAAGAAGAAGAAAAAAATAATCTGTAAATATAAGCTGAATATTTGGTGGGCGTAGGACGGGGGCGGGAAGCCTCAGGCCTGAAGGTCAAATATACTTTTGCATATGGTTACACCCACCTCTGCTACATGGCCCTTCAGAAAGCTGCTCACGAGGAAATATGGTCCCTGGACACACACAAAAATTAGGTTCCTCATCCTGAATAGCTCAGGTGGTTAGAGCATGGTGCTGATAATGCCAAGGTTGCAGCTTCGATCCCTGTAGGAGACAGCTGTCTTGGCCGAGTAGACCTGAAGGAGCGTCTCCTCCCTCATCATCCAGCCCAGACACAGAGGTCCAGCGCCGAGGGTCTTCTGGCGGTTCCCTCCCTGCAAGAAGCGAAGTTACTGGGAACCAGGCAGAGGGCCTTCTCAGTGGTGGCACCCGCCCTGTGGAACGCCCTCCCATCAGATGTCAAGGAAACAGAAAACTATCTGACTTTGAGAAGGCACCTGAAGGCTGCCCTGTTTAGGGAAGTTTTTAATATTTGAAGTTCTATTCTGTTTTAAGTGTTCTGTACGTAGCCACACAGAGTGGCTGGGGAAACCCAGCCAGATAGGCGGGGTATAAATAATAAAAGTATTTATATTATTATTATTGCATGGGGTTGGACTGGATCGACTCTTCCAACTCCACAATCTTGTGATTCTATCCCTGCTCCAAAATATGCCATGTTGGTATAAAGTGTTAAAACTATCTGTAGGAATTGTGCTTGGCAAAGCAAAACAAACCATTTTTTTTTACCGCCCAGTAATATGGCTGATAGTATCCAAGTTGCCATCATCTTAAAGCAGCCATAGTCCACATTTGTTTTTATGGTGGGTGAAATCTCTCTTCATTTTATCTGACCTCTCACTTGCACATGAAAAACCATTCAGTTTGAATTCTTTCTAACCCCCCCAAGAAGTCTCGCTTACACACAGGAGGTTACGTTTGGTTTTATTAGATAGAAGAAGCACATTCTTTTTCTTAAAGGCAAGTGTGGGCGTTAAAACATACACAGTGTAGAAATAAACCGCAGGGATATTATCTGTGCGTATCGCGTACATTCACCGACGCCACTCTAACGAACCGGAATGGAGCCAACGCATTCTTCGGAGGAACAGAGCAGATCGCCACAACACAGTAAGGCAGGTGAAATGGTTTGGTACAGAATTCTCTTAGCGCAGGCCAACGTCTTCCCAAACGCGACGCCTGTGCAATCCCAATGGTCCCCTTAGAAGCCAGCATACCCTTCCCTTCTCTCGCGACGCCACCCTTGGCGGCTAACCAATGCGACTCTTTCCGCATGCTCAGCCATGGTGCAACATGCTCACTTCAAGGAGAAACTCTGGCCCCTTGCGGGGGGGGGGGAGGGGGCATCAAACAGGAGGCCCCCACCAAGGTCCCTGGAACGCAGTGTTTTTGCTGACCTGGATACAGTCATACCTCATGTTACGGATGTTTCAGGTTACGTATTTTTCGCTCTATAAGACGCACCAGACCATAAGACGCACCTAGTTTTTGGAGGAGGAAAACAAGAAAAAAAACATTCTGAATCTCAGAAGCCAGAACAATGAGAAGGATCGCTGCGCAGTGAAAGCAGCGCTCCCTCTCGCTGTTCTGGCTTCTGTGAAAGCTGCGCAGCCTGCATTCACTCCATAAGATGCACACACATTTCCCCTTACTTTTTAGGAGGGAAAAAGCGAGTCTTATAGAGAAAAAAATACGATACGTCTTTTCAGGTTGCGTCCTGCGGCAACCCGGAAGTACCGGAAAGGGTTACTTCCGGGTTTCACCGCTCGCACATGTGCAGAAGCGCTAAATCACACTTTGCGCATGCGCACAAGCACTAAATCGCGCCGCACACCTGCGCAGATATGCTGCTTCAGGTTGCACTCTTTTCAGGTTGCGCACAGGCCTCCAGAACGGATCCCGTTCGCAACCAGAGGTACCACTGTAGAAGAGAACAGCTGAGAAGGGTCGGAAGGACTTCCGGTTGAAGCGAGCATACTTGGGACATGGAGCATGCGCAGAGAGCAGCAGCAGCATGTTGTTGGTGGCCTGCACTAGAATGTCTAAATGGAGTTATTCCATGACCCGCTGTCAGCACCGGGTGGGTGAGGGGGGGGGTTAGCAGCACGTTCATCAGATACCATTCAAACGCTCCCATCTAGAAGGCAACCACTTTTGTAAAAACGTAAATAAATTTATATTAAAAAAGTCTGAAAAGGTCTTAAAAAAATATAAAAAACACAAAAGAACCACAATTTTAAAAAAACCGTTTCTTTGCATTTTAAAAAATGCCACTGAACAAAGACATACCAATTCCACTGATTTACAAGATTTTGGGTTTTGGTTTCTGGGTTGTTTTCCTCCCTGTGTGGAGTAGTTAAAGAGTATAGGCTGTCATCTCGCCTATGCCTTGACATCTTTGAGATGGGTGATGAGCCAAGAACTTGTCAGAACTGCATACCATGACACCTTATTTTCTTGTTCCATGTCTATAAACAAGATTATTAAATGTTTGCTAATAATTCCTATTGGGTGGTAGTCAGTTCCCGCAATTAATTAAATTCCCAGTCTGGTGGGCATGTTCCACTCCTTAACCTCTACACGTTTTGTGCCGAAACGAAAAGTATTAGCAGATAGAATGAAAATGCTGCGTATTTTAACCATATAATTTGAGGGCATTGCCATGTTCTCAAAAGATGCATCTTCTCAAACCAGCTTCAGAGCATCTTGCCATGCTTTTAATGTTTTGGTAGCATAACTGACAGCTGCAGAGTATTCTGAAACACAAAAATGAAAAAAGAAAAAGAAAATAGAGGATTACTTTTCAATACAGTTTAAAGCTTTTAATTGTTCAAAGGTATAAATGCTTTATACAAACTTGTTCTAAATTTTGGACAGCTAACTTCCCCCCAAAATTTCCTCCAAGGCAAAATAAACGAGTTCCTTTGAATTGTAAAGGAGCAAAATATTGGTTAAAAGGTAAATCAAGTCATGGAAGTAATTTTAGGATTTAGAGTCACAATAATGAAGCTGACATTTATTACCACTTTTAAAAGTTCAAGTCACCAGGGACCTTTATGGACCTCAACCCACACTCACACAAAAGATCCTCAGTCCCGAGGGATTTATTTGGGCTTTAGCTCTTAGTTTACTACATACTCAGTTTTTTGTTCTACATCTAGAATGCCATGACCTATAGTGAATACATGAAGCAAAGAAGGACAGGGATCCAAGGAAGGCAGGACACATTTTCTCTGTATCAAATGCCATTTCTTGGGAGCTGCAGAATTGCTTCCCACTAAAAGCAAAGGAAGTTCATAAAGTATAAATTTGCCATGCTAATTGCATGGACCTTAAAGAAGGCTGATCGCCGAAGAATTGATGCTTTTGAATTACGGTACTGGAGGAGACTCTTGAGAGTCCCATGGACTGCAAGAAAAGCAAACCTATCCATTCTTAAGGAAATCAGCCCTGAGTGCTCACTAGAAGGACAGATCCTGAAGGTGAGGCTCCAAGACTTTGGCCACCTCATGAGAAGAGAAGACTCCCTGGAAAAGACCCTGATGTTGGGAAAGATGGAGGGCACAAGGAGAAGGGGACGACAGAGGACGAGATGGTTGGACAGTGTTCTTGAAGCTACTAGCATGAGTTTGACCAAACTGTGGGAGGCAGTGGAAGACAGGAGGGCCTGGAGTGCTCTGGTCCATGGGGTCACGAAGAGTCGGACACGACTAATCGACTAAACAGCAACAACAAATTTCTTACAGTGAAAGGTGTGTCCTCCCAGGTCTCACCTGGGAGCACCCTCCTCTTCTCTCAGCGAAAATGAGCAATTCTAGATTTACCCGGAGTTAACCAACTCTCTCTACACACACACAATATATTCAGTTTTCCTCCATGTGTGGATGCTTAATTTATATTATTCTATGTTGCCCATACAAAGATATTATGTATAAAGCAACCTAGAAAGGACACATTTATGTGGAACAAAGGTAACGTGTTTTAATATAGTTTTGCCTGTTTCCTATGTATATACCCGGGTTATCTCCCGCTTGGAGTACTGCAATGCGCTCTATGTGGGGCTACCTTTGAAGGTGACCCGGAAACTGCAACTAACCCAGAATGCAGCAGCTAGACTGGTGACGGGAGTGGCTGCTGGAACCACATAACACCGGTCTTGAAAGACCTACATTGGCTACTAGTACATTTCCGAGCACAATTCAAAGTGTTGGTGCTGACCTTTAAAGCCCTAAACGGCCTCAGCCCAGTATACCTGAAGGAGTATCGTCCACCCCCATCGTCCAGCCTGGACACGAAGGTCCAGCTCCGAGGGCCTTCTGGCGGTTCCCTCGCTGTGAGAAGCAAAGCTACAGGGAACCAGGCAGAGGGCCTTCTCGGTGGTGGCGCCTGCCCTGTGGAACGCCCTCCCACCAGATGTCAAAGAGAAAAATAACTACCTGACATTTAGAAGACATCTGAAGGCAGCCCTGTTCAGGGAAGTTTTTAATGTGTGACATTTTAATGTATTCTTAATCTTTGTTGGAAGCTGCCCAGAGTGGCTGGGGAAACCCAGCCAGATGGGCGGGGTACAAATAATAAATTATTATTATTATTATTATTATTATTATTATTATTATTATTATTTCTGCAGCGGCACCCACAGCAATAGGTAAGAGGAGAATAACTTCTCTGGGTCAGCGTCTCTTCTGCCGAATGCAATCTCTTGGTCTATCATGAGCTTCCGGCGCCAGTAAAAATGTCAGGCAAAGGAAAACCGGACTTCAACTCAGCATTCTGTTTTCCTTTCCTGATTTGAAATTCTGCAGCTTTCTTTGGGGCCTTTTTGTCCAGCTAGCCTTCTTTTAATTTGCTGGTTTTTAGTTTTCAAACACACATTAAGCATACACATATATCTGTTGCTCTCCTTTCGCTACACACTAACTTTTGAAACACGTTTAAAGAGTTCAGACACAAAGATATTGGGAGGAATTAAAAATATATTACTTTCAAGTTCTGCTGGGTTTCTGCCCAGTCCATGGAACCGATCAGGGGTATAGTAGTCAGCAGCAAGCTTGTTGCTTTATTGGCGTTTTCCTTCAATGTCTTCAACACTTTATCCACCGAAACCTGGAAGTACAACAACAATGAAAGCAAATTCCACTGAATTAAAAACACACACACACACCACCCATATACTTATGAGTTGATATGTATAGGATTGCATACTGGAGAAGTTTAAAACAATATTTAAATGTCTCAGGCATGGGTAGGCAAACTAAGACCCAGCCCAATCGCCTTCTCAATCTGGCCTGCAGACGGTCCGAGAATCAGTGTGTTTTTACATGAGTAGAATGCGTGCTTTTATTTAAAATGCATCTCTGGGTTATTTGTGGGGCATAGGAATTTGTCCATTTCCCCCCCAAAAAACTATAGTCCGGCCCCCCACAAGGTCTGAGGGACAGGGGACCGGCCCCCTGCTGAAAAAGTTTGCTGACCCCTGGTCTCAGGTAAACTTTGTGATGCATTGAATTCAAAAATTTGAGTTTGCAGCTGACTGTTGAGAGGAAGGGGGGAGGAAGAGAGAGATGCTGGCAAACTTCGTGGTATATCAAATGCATTACAGTGGAACCTGGGAAGCCAAACGCCTTTGAACTTGAATGTTTTGGCTCCCGAATAATCAAAAACCTGAAGTGATTGTTCTGGTTTTCAAACACTCTTTGGAACCCAAACGTCTGATGTGACTTCCACGGCTTCCGATTGGCTGCAGGAGCTTCCTGCAGCCAATCGGAAGCTGCGCCTTGGTTTTCCGAATGTTTTGGAAGTCGAACGGAATTCCAGAACAGATTCCACTCAACTTCCAAGGTACCACTGTACTGCTAAAATATACGCAGGGGGACATGAGAAATCTTCCTCCATGTTTCCCCAAAATACTCCTCCCCATGAAAACAGGGGGCAACTATGTTGATTTTTAGTGGTGAAAGGAAAGAAAGAAAATAAGCAGAACTGGGAAGAAGACGAAACACAAATGAAAGAAGAATGGATTTTAAAGCTAGTGGGCTTTGCAAAACTGGTGAAACTAACAGCAAAATTATGAAACTGACATGAGGGACGATTCCTGGAAGAATGGAAGTCCTTTTGGGAATATCTGAAAAAATGCCATGATCAGATGAAATCGCAAGCAGGATTTGAAATATAAGCAGTGGAAGGAAAATGATAATACACTGGTACCTTGGTTTTTGAATGGCTTGGCTCCTGAACAAATCAGCTCCTGAACACCACAAACCCAGAAGTAAGTGTTCCGGTTTGCAAACGTTTTTTGGAAGCCGAACAGACTCCCGGAACGGATTAAGTTCGACAACCAAGGTACCACTGTATTTGAAATGGAAGAATATGTCGTAGGTGAAATTTTCTCAGAGTGCAGTATGTAAATAGGATGGGATTAAGAACAGCGTGGAAGGAAAGGCGGGAAGTCAAAAGTTTAAAGAGAAATGTAAAACAAATTTGAAATCTGGAATTTATATGTAAAGATTTAAAAGTGTAGTAAAAATTTCATCTCTGCCAAAAAGGGGGGGTCCCTTCTGAATATTTTTCGTATCTCCGTAAAACTGGGGTGTCACCACAAACCTGCCAGCGCCTCCCCCCTTCTTCTTTTTCCCCCAATTTTTTTATTGGTTTTCACAACATTATAAACAAACAAACACATAAGACAAACAAACATAAATCATAGCCTTATTGAAAGTTACTCTTATTAACATTGTTAAGTGACTTCCTTGCTTCCCCTTGGTTGAATTTCACATTATGAAATTAAACATATTAATTCATCACTTAACATATTAATTCATCACTTAGCATAAATAAAATCCTAAGCCAATTAAGTATCTGCAAGCTGTTTTCAGTTAATTTAACTTAACATATTTAACTAAGTAATCATTAATTTTTGTCCATTCTTCCTGATACTCCTCCTCCTTCTGTTAGCGGACTCTTCCGGTCAGTCGGCTAGCTCTGAAAAATCCATCATCTTCATCTGCCATTCTTCTATCGTTGGTAATTCTTGGGTTTTCCACTTTTTAGCTAACAAAATACGAGCAGCAGTTGCGGCATACAAAAATAATTTAACATCTTTCTTGGGCAATTCCAAACCTGTTATTCCAAGAAGAAAGGCCTCTGGTAGCGCCTCCCCCCTTCTGCATGTATGGCGCCATTTTAGCTACCTAAGGATCCCCGCTTGGCAACCAAACCTAAAAGCGAGAAGCAACTGTCACTCACGGTTTCTTCGTGTTCCTTCCAGCAGTCGTAGTCTGTGGCCATGGCAATGCTTGCATAGCAGAGACCAGCTTCCCTGGCAAGAACCACTTCGGGGACCGTAGTCATGTTGATGACGTCGCCTCCCCAGCTGCGAAACATGAGGCTCTCAGCTCGGGAACTGAAACGCGGCCCTTCGATGGTGATCATGGTCCCTTTGGAGTGGGACTTGATGCCAAGCTTCTTGGCCACATCCATAAGGACCTGGACACACAGAGACAGGACCGTCTTTAACATATGTGCCGCTAGGGTACAAAGATCCGCCCAGCGCCCCCAAATTTAGTTTAGCAGTCTTGTTAAAATCTATTTTGGTAAAGGGAGGGACGCGGGTGGCGCTGTGGTCTAAACCAAAAGAGCCTAGGACTTGCTGATCAGAAGGTCGGCAGTTCGAATCTCTGTGACGGGCTGAGCTCCTGTTGCTCAGTCCCTGCTCCTGACAACCTAGCAGTTCAAAAGCACGTCAAAGTGCAAGTAGATAAATAGGTACCGCTCTGGCGATAAGGTAAACGGCATTTCCGTGCACTGGTCTGGTTCGCCAGAAGCAGCTTAGTCTTGCTGGCCACATGACCCGCAAGGTGTACGCTGGCTCCCTCGGCCAATAAAGCGAGATGAGCGCCGCAACCCCAGTGTCATCCGTGACGGGACCTAATGGTCAGGGGTCCCTTTACCTTTACCTAAAAGGTAAAGGACCCCTGACAGTTAAGTCCAGTCGCTCATCTCGCTTTCAGGCCGAGGCAGCCAGCGTTTGTCCACAGTTTTTCCAGGTCATGTGGCCAGCAGGACTAAACCACTTCTGGCACAACGGGACACAGAAATCAGAGCAGCGCACAGAAACGCTGTTTATCTTCCTGCCGGAGTGGTACCTATTTATCTACTTGCATTTTGACGTGCTTCCAACTGCTGGGTTGGCAGGAGCAGGGACCTAGCAAAGGGAGCTCTCCCCATCGCGGGGATTCGAACTGCCCACCTTTCGATCAGTAAGCCCAAGGCTCAGTGGTTTAGACCACAGCGCCACCCGCGTCTATTAAAACTCTCTATCTATATATATATATATATGTTTACAAAGAATTACGACAGAAGCAGCAAGGCACCAGACCTTTAATGCACCTCTTTAAAAAGTAATATGCAGGTTAACCACAATAACAAGTCCTCCCCCCATCCTTTTTTTTTGTAATGTACAAAATATGTACAAATTACCACTGGGGGAGTGGTAATTCTGTATTGATTTGTTTTGGATGTTTGTATGTGATGCCAATAAAAGGTTTGATGATGATGATATGGGTACTATTTCTTGTTTCTCCCTCTTTGCATCTTATTTTACTCTGTGTACTTTTGTAATTTTATAATTATTTTTCTAATAATAATAATGATAAAGTAATCTGCAGGAAGAACAGGGAAGTGGCTCAGCATTTATCAAGTGGCAACCCCCCCCCCCCCAATATCAACATTAAATGAAACAGGAGGGGATAAAGCTGGAAAGGAAAACCAGCAACATGTTTCTCTTTCACCCCCTTCCTATACATTCATAAGCACTTTCTGCTGATCTACAGGCTGTTGAGATTCCAGCCGCAGACGACGGACTCAATAAGCGAAGATCCACAAACCTCTCTAGTTTTGGCGCAGAAAGGTTCTGCCATAGGGATGTGGCAGACTCCCGGGAGGCCGGGACAGCTCCCATCATAAAAGGTGAGATGCCTTTTGGTGGTCCTGTGGGTGGGGAAAAACATTGATTAGAAATTTTAAAAAACACCTGATTGGCAAGGAAAGGTCAGCATGTTCAGTCACTGTAGTATCAATGCCACCCATTCGCCTCTTTTTTCCATCTTGCGAGCCGACAGAAGATCAGTAGAGTAGGGGTCAGCAAGGTTTACCTCGCCTGGACCGGTTCACTCCAGCAGAGATTTCTGGAGTCTGCGCACCTGCAATTTCCGGTGTCTGCAGCTGTGCGCCTGCGATTTCTGCTGTCTGGGCAGATGCGATTTCCGGCGCCGCGGAAGCGAGTCCCCATGCCTTGGTTCGGGGGCGGCTCGTGGGCCGGTTAAACAACCCCCATGGGCCGCCTGTCCTACATTCCTGAACATTCTCCTACATTCCTAAACGTTCCCACACTTAGGTTTCCCCTGAATCAAGTATGTGTAGTGTGGTCTGAGCACCGAAGAATTGATGCTTTTGAATTATGGTGCTGGAAGAGACTCTTGAGAGTCCCATGGACTGCAAGAAGATCAAACCTATCGCTTCTTAAGGAAATCAGCCCTGAGTGCTCACTGGAAGGACAGATCCTGAAGCTGAGGCTCCAGTACTTTGGCCACCTCATGAGAAGAGAAGACTCCCTGGAAAAGACCCTGATGTTGGGAAAGATGGAGGGCACAAGGAGAAGGGGACGACAGAGGACGAGATGGTTGGACAGTGTTCTCAAAGCTACAAACATGAGTTTGACCAAACTGCGGGAGGCAGTGGAAGACAGGAGGGCCTGGCGTGCTCTGGTCCATGGGGTCACAAAGAGTCGGACACAACTAAACGACTAAACAACAACAACGAGTGGTCTTTGGTTCCAGATTCACAAATCGGTATTTTCATTACAACCCCTCACCACCCCATTAATATAATCCATATATGAAAAGCAGGGATGCTTTGGGAATAAAGCTTCTGCTCCAGCCCAAGATCTAATTCAATGATTGCCCAGCCTACCTCCTCATATAAGATCTCCATCTTTTTTTTACCTGTCTATGAACTGATCTATTATGACAACGTCTCCAGGCTGAATCTCTTCTCTCAAAGAACCACAGGCTGTGGTCACCAGCAGATGAGTGCAGCCCTCTTCCTTCAGAGCCCACAGATTGGCACGGTAATTGACATGTGTCGGAATGATGGTGTGATGCCTTCCATGCCTACGTAGAGAAAGAGGGGAGGGGAAAAACAGCAAAGCTAAAATTCAAGACGGGGTTGGGGGAAGCAAGCAACTCAGGGAAAGATGCGTTTCCTGTTGGGGTTAGGAATGAATTCACCAAACAGTGGTTTTATTCTGTTCCACCACCTCTTTAAAAGCAATTTACTTATGTAAGAATGGTGTGAGGAGAGTAGCTGGGGATCAGGACCAATAGATCTGGCCAATCCAGAGGCTTCAACTTGCTTTCCCATTTCAGGGACAAATGTCATACACCTTGTGTGCCAGAAGCTATGAGGGTTTAGTACATATAGTTTCTAAGGGAGCAGGTGGTGCTGTGGTCTAAACCATGGAGCCTCTTGGGCTTGCCGATCGGAAGGTCGGTGGTTCAAATCCCCGCGATGGGGTGAGCTCCCATTGCACTGTCCCTGCTCCTGCTAACTTAGCAGTTGGAAAGCACGCCAGTGTAAGTAGATAAATAGGTACTGCTGCGTTGGGAAGGTAAACAGCGTTTCCGTGCACTCTGGTTTCCATCATGGTGTCCCGTTGTGCCAGAAGCGGTTTAGTTCTGCTGGCCACATGAAAGCTGTCTGTGGACAAACGCCGGCTCCCTCAGTCTGAAAGAGAGATGAGCGCCGCAACCCCACAGTTGCCTTTGACTGGACTTAACTGTCCAGGGGTCCATTACCTTTTTTACCTATCCATTAGTCCTTCCATGTAGAATAGTTCTCGATCTCATTCATTAATTTTCTTTTGTTTTATGAGTGTTTTATCTTTTTGTCTGTCTTAGGTGATTTTTTATAAGCAGCTTATAGGCTGCTTATATTAAATCAAGGGAGCGGGTGGCGCTGTGGTCTAAACCACTGAGCCACTTGGGCTTGCCGATCGGAAGGTTGGCGGTTCGAATTCCCACGATGGAGTGAGCTCCCATTGCTCTGTCTCAGCTTTTGCCAACCTAGTAGGTCAAAAGCACACCAGTGCAAGTAGATAACTAGGTACCGCTGCGGCGAGAAGGTAAACAGCATTTCCGTGTGCTCTGGTTTCCGTCATGGTCCTCCATGTGCCAGAAGTGGTTTAGTCCTGCTGGCCACATGACCCGGAAAGCTGTCTGTGGACAAACGTCAGCTCCCTCGGCCTGAAAGCGAGATGAGCGCCACAACCCCATAGTCGCCTTTGACTGGACTTAACCATTCAGGGGTCCTTTCACTTTCCCTTTCTACATATAGTTTCTGGTTCAAATCCTCAGCCCTGGGATTCAAGGCCTGGGATTTTAAGGTTTTTAGGACTGGTAGATTTTATAATTTTTTATGTCTCTGTATTCTTCTGTCCCAAACTCTCAGGAAAGTTTACATTTAATTTGCACCTATCTGTTAAATTTATATCCCAACCTTCCTTACAGGGCAGCAAAAACTTCTGTGATTAAAAACAAAACTCCACAATTTAAGAAAGAATAAAAACATATTCAAAACATTTAAAAATCCGTTAAAAACAATAAAATAAACTGAAGTACAGATGAAACAAAATAACGTGTCTGCACAGGCCAGCTGAAACAGGTAAGTTTTCAGCAAGCATATGTGTTGTCCAACACAATTAACTGAACTTGGAAGTTCTAAAGAAAGAGGAACAATTTTTAAGGCAGAGAACTCAATAAAGCCAATCAAGAACTATAAACCAATTAAAATTTACTGAAATGCTGGCGATAATTCTCAGCATTTAGCGTGCATCTTTAGCAGGTTAGATGCCTTGATTTAATACATTTACGGCAAACCTTAATTTTTCAGTAGAAGAGAAATACAAGTGATGCTTAAGGAATTCTTACCTGGCTAGAAGCACACAGTCAACGTTTTTTATCTTCCCCAAAATCAGAGCATCTGACGGCTAGAGTTAAAAACAGAAATAACACAAGACAGGGATGGAAGACAACACATTACAGAATGCCAACTGTGAATTTTAAACAATCTTAATTGCTATTTAGGCATGATTAAGGGGGCGGGGGGAGATTCTTTTTATTTATTTATTTATTTACATTTAAAACAATCCAATAAAAGCCACATTAATACAATACCAAATTAAAATTGAATTTAAAAAGCCAATTATCCAAAAGGTTATTGGTACCTACCTTTCCATAAGGCGTATCGACGTATTTTTCTGTTCGTCCTTCTAATATGTCTGGGTCGTCCAGACCGGTCCCTCCGATAATTCCAATCTTGAGCACAAGAAACACGCATTAGTTTGGAAGACAATTGAAACTATTACTAAATGTTACACCACAATAGTGTTTGGTTGTCACCTGCCCCCACCCCACTCGCCATTCCCCCCTTCCCTCTCCCCCTTTCTTCTTCTTCCTCCTAATTGTTTAAACCAATTCATGAACCAAGAACTAATACACTGACCACTAATAATGAAACATACATTGTAGATATTTTTCCACATTTATTATGCTATTTTTGTGATACACAAATGACATGAGAAAACTTTCTGCTGTACTTCATTGGAAGGAGAAAAATAACCATTTCCTTAATAACAATTTAAACAATTTATTTAACTGAAACAACACTATAGCATATGTATCCATGTTTGTTAACTGATGTGGTTAAACAATTCATTTTTTTAAAAACCCCAACTTAGACTGAGTTTTAGCACACATGAGAAACATAAAACAAATCCTTATTCCTGATGAATACTTCTTTGGACTATAATTTAACCTAAATAGGAAACTATCTTTAGAAAGATTTTCCCTCCAAATTTTATATTAAAAATCCGATTTAAATTAAAAAATAAAATCCGATTTTTAAAATTATTTTTTGAAAATCATTGATTTTTATCCACCCTGATTCCTGCAGAAATCCCCATGCCAGCGACGGGAAACCTGTGGGACTTCCACCATCCTTGACCACTGGGCACTCTGCCTGGGACAGAGGTGAGGGAAGGCTGCAAAACCACCTGGAGGGGCAAAACCACCTGGAGGGGCAGAGATGACCTTGGAGAAGTCCAACGTGGTTCAAAGTTTAGTAGGATGCTGGTGGCCAAGTGAAGATGTTTGCTGGGGTGCAGCAAGAGCGGGTGATGATTTTATTTTATTTTATCCCCAAAAATTTATTGGTTTTCACAGTATTATAAACAAACAAACACACACACACACACACACACACACACAAGACAAACAAACATAAATCATAGCCTTCTTGAAAATTACACTTATTAACTTTGTTAAGTGACTTCCTAGCTTCCCCTTGGTTGAATTTCATTGCATGTCCTTTTAACGGTTTTCCAAATCCCAATTCTTGTGAAATTTAACTTAAACATTAACATCCTTAAATCTCCACCTTATGGAATTAAACATATTAATGCATCACTTAACATAAATAAAATCCTAAGTCAATTAAGTATCTGCAAGCTATTTTCAATTAATTTAACTTAACAAATTTAACTAGATAATCATTAAATTTATTCCACTCTTCCTGATACTCCTCCTCCTTCTGGTGGCGGACTCTTCCGGTTAGGTCGGCTAGCTCTGAAAAATCCATCATCTTCATCTGCCATTCTTCTATTCTTGGTAATTCTTGGGTTTTCCACTTTTTAGCTAACAAAATACGAGCAGCAGTTGTGGCATACAAAAATAATTTTGTGGCATACAAAAATAATCTTTCTTGGGCAATTCCAAACCTGTTATTCCAAGAGTGGGTGATGATTTTAAGGTGTCCAGCGAGCGCATGGTTAGGACACGGTTTGCGGGCAGATAGCGTCACTTTAGGATGGAGCCTGACAACTTGTGATCAAGCCAGTTGAGTTCATTCAAATGAACTGCCAGACCCAGGGAGGATGATTCCTCAAGAAGGCAGAGTTTGGGCATCCCTGCTACAACAATGAAACCATTCTTGTGCTGCGGTTGTTTGTTTTAAGGTCAGGAATGGAAAAACCCAATCACCCTATTTTTAGTCCTAGGCAGCTTCCTTACAGCTGGCTGGGATAGGGAAGGGAAAACTCTGCCACCCACCCACATTTCCTCCTTCCGCAGAGGGCAGCCAGTGTGCCAGTCTGGGGCTTTCCGCCTCAACCAGATGAGAACAGCAAATAGGTATGAATGGGACTGATGGAAAACCAACCAACCCCCCCATTCCCTGCCCCCAGCCTCAGTAATTGGCTCTAGGTCAGGAGTCAGCAAACTTTTTCAGCAGGGGGCCGGTCCCCTGTCCCTCAGACCTTGTGGGGGGGGGCAGACTATATTTTTTTTGGGAGGGAGAACGAATTCCTATGCCCCACAAATAACCCAGAGATGCATTTTAAATAAAAGCACACATTCTGCTCATGTCAAAACACCAGGCAGGCCCCACAAAGAACCCATAGGTGCATTTTAAATAAAAGGAAACATTCTACTCATGTAAAAACATGCTGATTCCTGGACCGACTGCGGGACAGATTTATAAGGCGATTGGGCCAGATCCAGCCCCCGGGCCTTAGTTTGCCCAGCCATGTCCTAGAACTCTTGCCACTGTAGAGGATTCTTTAAATTTTTTATTTTTTTTAAAAAAATCATTTTTCATTTTCGTTCATTACATACCATATTTTTCGCCCTATAGGGTGCACCGGCCCATAGGACGCACCTAGTTTGTTTTTTTTGGGGGGGGGAATAAAGAAAAAAAATTATTCCCCCCCAGCCGCGGCTTCAGCACGCCCCGCGCTCTGGGCAGCAGGCTGCTATCCGCAGCCTAGGGAGCCCTGCGGGAACTCCCGCGGGCTCCCCAGGCTTGCGGATAGCTTCCTGAATCCTGGAGAGCGAGAGGGGTCGGTGCGCACCAACCCTTCTCGCTCTCCAAGCTTCAGCAAAAGCCTGCATTCGCCCCATAGGACGCACACAGATTTCCCCTTCATTTTTGGAGGGGAAAAAGTGCGTCCTATGGGGTGAAAAATACGGTATATATTCCTCCCTCCCTCCCCTCCAAGACTTGCCCCAACCTGCGTTTCTGGTTTGTTTCTATTTTCACCCACTTTGCTATCTCTCAACAGAAAAAGTTATTAATAACATAGCATCAAACCTTAAAAACATAAAAACAAAATTAAATACATCATCTTATTTCACTATCTTCCAAACATTTTCTGATGCTAATAAAGTGGATGTTTATTTAAATCCTGCCATCGAGTCTACTGCCTTTCTTTGTTTCTGCAAATATAATATGAATGGTTCCCAATCTTTTTCAAAGTCCCTGCTGTCTTTTTCTCTTAGTCTTTCTGTCATTTTTGCCACTGTAGAGGAGTCTGAGGAATGAAATAGGCACTCAGTTTGTGCTGGGCATTGGTGAAGCCAGAGAGGTCTCACTTTTGCCCTAGCTGAGCAGATCGGTTCCTAGAGCACAGCTGATGTTTGTTCTGCAGCTGCTGCTGTTGCTTCTTTGGTGATCCCTCGTAGCCGAGTAAGATTGTCTTCCATGAATGTGATCTTTACAATGTGTACGTAAGTGACTGTGGAGGCCAATTCTGGATGCTCACATCCTTACACGGTGAGGGTTTGCCAAACATGCCTTCCTCTTGGCACGTTTCTCCCTTGCGTCCTGAGTTCAAGTGTCTTCAAAGTCCATGACACCTTTGGTGAAGGCGGGTCTCCAACTGGAGCGCTTGCAGGCCAGTGATTCTCAGGTGTCGGCGGGCTGGATTTAGAAGGTGATTGGGGCGGATCCGACCCTCGGGCCTTAGGTTGCCTACCCATGCTCTAGGTAATAAGGCTTAAGTCTTCCGTTAGTGAGTGGAACAACTCCAGTACAGTGGTACCTTGGTTCTCAAACTTAATCCATTCCGGAAGTCCGTTCCAAAACCAAGATGCGCTTTCCCATAGAAAGTCATGCAAAATGGATTAACCCGTTCCAGACTTTTAAAAACAACCCCTAAAACAGCAGTGTAACATGAAATTTACTATCTAACAAAATGAAAGCAACAAACAATGTACTGCAGTCACACAATCAATCAATCAGTAGCTGAACTGAAAGAAATTCACGATATATCTGAAAGACAATTGTAATCAATTGACATCGCTTGTCGGGTTACAAGACGTTTTGTAAGGAGAACTATATGAATTATTGCGAAAGAGGACTAAGAAGGAGTTTGCTTAGGATTTGGATTTCATAGCAATAACTATTAAAATAAAATGCAAAATTAGAAAGGAAGTTAGAAAACCACCAGTCGAGGTTGATGGAAGTCCTAGGCGGTGATAGCCAAAGGTCTGTTATGTTTTCTAAGATGGGATGTTTGGAAGACATGTATAAAAACTAATAAAAAATATATTTTAAAAAAATCAGTAGCTGAACTGGGTTCCACCCAGTCACAAAAACAAACAAAGCCACAAAAACGCAAAATAAATAGCAAAAGCAGACAGACCTCAGCATAACACTCAAAACGGAAGTGTGTCACTCAAAATGGAAGTGTGTCACTCAAAACGGAGTACGTTTGACTTCCGAAAAAAGTTTGCAAACTGGAAGTTACTTCTGGGTTTGCAGTGTTTGGGTTCCAAGTTGTTTGAGTACCAAGGTGTTTGAGAACCAAGGTACCACTGTAAAGTCAAAAAATGAAGTTCCCCTGTAACTATCAAAAATTAAAGCACCGTAGGGGTGGCTTTAAACATCTAATAGCTTTCTACTTGCAGAGAACTCTTTCCACATCAATTTGTCTACCGTGGAATCCCCACGTTGCAGGAATTTCTGGAAGGAAATCCCCAGAATTTGCAAAAGGTACATGTCAGGCCTGTTGGACCTGCCTTAAAATAACCACCTCAGGTAAAGTTTAAGAGCATCGAATGAGTTGTCTCTTAAGCAAGCTTGGCTGTTGATGCTGGTTTCACTTAGGAACTTAAATAGAAAACTATCTTAAAAAGCAGAGACATCACCTTGCCGACAAAGGTCCTTATTGTTAAAGCTATGGTTTTCCCAGTAGTGATGTATGGATTTGAGAGCTGGACCATAAAGAAGGCTGATCACCAAAGAATGGATCCATTTGAATTGTGGTGCTGGAGGAGACTCCCATGGACTGCAAGAAGATCAAACCATTCTGAAGGAAATCAGCCCTGAGTGCTCACTGGAAGGACAGATCGTGAAGCTGAGGCTCCAAGACTTTGGCCACCTCATGAGAAGAGAAGACTCCCTGGAAAAGACTCTGATGTTGGGAAAGATGGAGGGCACAAGGAGAAGGGGATGACAGAGGACAAGATGTTTGGACAGTGTTCTCTAAGCTACCAACATGAGTTTGACCAAACTGCGGGAGGCAGTGGAAGACAGGAGGGCCTGGCGTGCTCTGGTCCAGGGGGTCATGAAGAGTCGGACACGACTAAACGACTAAACAACAACAACAATCTTTAAAAAGATTTTTCCTCCAAAAGCATTTTATTTTAAAAATAAATAACTGGGAGATTTCGAGGAACCCCGAGTTTTCCTGAGACGCAGCTCGAAAACCACTGGATTAAGTAAACCGTTGTGGGGGATAAATATCTGTGTTGCCAGATACTTACAATAAATAAACAGCAACAGACATAAAATACTCCATCCCGTGCCTACTTCTTTAAGACGGACCTCTTTTTTATTTAAAAAGATCTTTCTTCACTTACAATTATAATAGGAACATTTATTTCATTAGGCTAAGGCTATGTGGTTCTTGTGATCAGTCCAAAGCTCTGGTTGAAGTTCATGCCATAGCTTGGAAGAACCTGCCAAGGACCAGCAAACAGAAACACACATTCTTTCTGATTTGCTGCCATCTTGTGGCATGGAAGTGGTAGTGCAGGCAAACTGGGTGCAACATAAGTGAAGACAGATTTGCAATTTCCAGTGTGCTCCTAAAAGCAGGGTGGATAAAAATCAATGCTTTAAAAAAAATAAAAAAATAAAAAATTGGATTTGTTTATATTTAAATCGGATTTTTAAAATAAAATGCTTTTGGAGGGAAAATCTTTCTAAAGATAGTTTTCTATTTAAGTTACATTATAGCCCAACGGCTACTCATCAGGAAATAAGGATTTGTTTTAAGTTTTTCATCAGTCTAAGGTTGTTGCTTTTTTTTCATTTAACCACCTCAGTTAACAAACATGGATACATATGCTATAATGTTATTGTTTCAGTTAAATAAATTGTTTAAATTGTTATTAAGGAAATGATTGTTTTTCTCCTTCCAATAAAGTACAGCAGAAAAGTTGTCCAGATACAAACAATAATTTCATAATTGCCTGTCTTTGTATTTCTAATAGTATAACCAAATCAGTAATTTTTTATATAACTGTAAAAACCACTCTGAAAATTTATTATTCCAAAAATGAAACCTTCATCTGGTTGTAAATGTTAAGATTATACCAGCAAGAACGAGTCTTTCTGTAAAGAAATGATTTAAATCGATTTGATTTAAATCAAATCCACCCTGCGTAAAAGCATCAAAGAAGGCTGGAATAATATTGCCTGAATGTTACCATCAAAAGGTTCCCGTGTCACGCAACTGAAGGTACCATTCCACATTACAAATACAGTGGTACCTCGGGTTAAGTACTTAATTTGTTCCAGAGGTCCGTTCTTAACCTGAAACTGTTCTTAACCTGAAGCACCACTTTAGCTAATGGGGCCTCCTGCTGCTGCCAAGCCGCCAGAGCATGATTTCTGTTCTCATCCTGAAGCAAAGTTCTTAACCCGAGGTACTATTTCTGGGTTAGCAGAGTCTGTAACCTGAAGCGTATGTAAGCTGAAGCGTATGTAACTTGAGGTACCACTGTACCCAGCTGGCAACCAAATCCCTTCCACATAGAATTATAGAGCTGGAACGGATCTTGAAGTTTATCTGGCAACCCTCGCTGTTACGCAAGAGCCAGAGCTACCAACTTGGGCTTCTGAGTTTGGCTGCTTTTGGGTTTCAATTACATTATGTTCTGCTGTGATCAGCTGGATCCCATTTTGCTGCAAAAGCAATCTATCTATGCGCTCGCTCCAACTGCTTAGTAATGAATGTTACACCTGTGCAAAACAGAGAGAGGCTTTCATCAGGCAAGGATAAAATGCACAGGCCTCAAGTTTTCTGAAACTGTAGGCAGCACCGAGTTTGTACTGTTAAGCCAGTTGAAGTCAATGGGATTAAATGAGCCAAACGTTGTGATGTATGGAAGTGAGAGCTGGACCATCAAGAAGGCTGATCGCCGAAGAATGGATGCTTTTGAATTGTGGTGCTGGAGGAGACTCTTGAGAGTCCTGTGGACTGCAAGAAGATCAAACACATCCATTCTTAAGGAAATTAGCCCTGAGCGCTCACTGGAAGGACAGATCCTGAAGCTGAGGCTCCAATACTTTGGCCACCTCATGAGAAGAGAAGACTCCCTGGAAAAGACCCTGATGTTGGGAAAGATGGAGGGCACAAAGAGAAGGGGATGACCGAGGACGAGGTGGTTGGACAGTGTTCTCGAAGCTACCAGCATGAGCTTGGCCAAACTGCGGGAGGCAGTGGAAGACAGGAGTGCCTGGCGTGCTCTGGTCCATGGGGTCACGAAGAGTCGGACATGACTAAACGGCTAAACAACAACAACGTTGTGCTGAAGACTGGCCAGAGGGAAGATAAGTGCTTGAGATGAAGGAAGGGAAAAGAAGAGGAGCAACTTGACCACTGTAGCAATTGCCTCCCATCAGTGGGGGTCTTTGCCACTTCTCAGGAGGGGAGGGGTGATGCAGCAGAGAGGCCAGAGTTGTACGGATGCCCCACGCAGAAACACCGGATAAGCTCTATCAGGGCACCTGTGCAGCCGTTATCTCACCACCACCTGGCTAGTACCGCCCCCCTACCAAAGTGGTACCAACTCCCATTGCAGGGAAGCTACAGCTGCAACTCTATCCCACTGGCCAGTGTTTGAAATTAGCCAGGAGCCAGGCACATTTTGTCCCTGATTACTGGCCACTTGTGGTCACAAGTGAAGATACCTTCACTCGGTGGAACGTCTCCACCCCATTGATCTGCCCGGACACTGAGGTCCAGCACTGAGGGCCTTCTGGCGGTTCCCTCACCGCAAGAAGCGAAGTTACAGGGAATCAGGCAGAGGGCCTTCTTGGTGGTGGCACCCGCCTCCCGTCAGATGTCAAGGAGCTTCACAATATTCCAATATACCTGAAGGAGCTTCTCCACCCCCATCGTTCAGCCCAGACACAGAGGTCCAGCGCCGAGGGCCTTCTGGCGGTTTCCTCATTGCAAGAAGCCATGTTACAGGGAATCAGGCAGAGGGCCTTCTTGGTGGTGACACCCGCCCTGTGGAACGCCCTCCCATCAGATGTCAAGGAAATAAACAACTACCTGGATTTTAGAAGATGTCTGAAGGCAGCTCTGTTTAGGGAAGTTTTTAATGACTGATGTTTTAATGTATTTTTAATCTTTTGTTGGAAGCCACCCAGAGTGGCTGGGGAAACCCAGCCAGATGGGCGGGGTATAAATAATAAATTATTATTATTATTATTATTACCTGGGTAGAGTGTTAGGAACTCATATACATAAGCTAGGTGCCAAATGGCTGCTTAAACCAAGGTTACAGTCACCAAAATGGAATGTCTAGTTGCCATTTTGGGGCAAGACGGCTCTAAAGTCTTATTTTTCGAAAGATGGACTCACTGTGGCTGACCCTCAGTTGAACATCTGGCTAGTTCAGATGTCAACCTTGAGCTGGGTTGAGAGATCTGAGAACTTAAAGAAGAAATGTCACCTGACCCAGGGACAGTCCACATATATACAGTGGTACCTCGGGTTAAGTACTTAATTTGTTCCAGAGGTCCGTTCTTAACCTGAAACTGTTCTTAACCTGAAGCACCACTTTAGCTAATGGGGCCTCCTGCTGCTGCCGCACCGCCGGAGCATGATTTCTGTTCTCATCCTGAAGCAAAGTTCTTAACCCAAGGTAATATTTCTGGGTTAGCGGAGTCTGTAACCTGAAGCATATGTAACCTGAGGTACCACTGTATTGGCCTCTTTTTCTTAATGGTGGCATGGGCCATTCAGAATGTAAGAATATTCTTCACAACTTTGAGCAGGGCATTGGGGAGGGAGAAGTGAAGACAAGCAACAAAAAAATCACTATAAGTTTCTTCACTACTCCTGCTAAGGTTGCACCAAAAATGCATTTTGGTTCCAGAAATCCATTCTGATGGGGCAGATAAAATGCAACGGATAGAATTCTAAAGGATGTGTGTCATTAGTGTGTGAAAACAGTCAAGCTCCAAGGATCCCCAGGCATGTACCTCCAGATGGTAGATACCATCCTGGCATTCCCTCTAGGCCGCGAGTGGCCAATATCCCGGTGCAAAATGTGCCTGGTGAATTTTGAACACTGTTCATGAATGCCAGCCATTGTGACTTCAGGAATATCCCCCGCCTCTGCCAATTTTCTTCCTAATTTCACATTCAGAATGAAGACTAGGGAAAAGTCTTGGAAGCCCAGTACAGTTCCAGGAGGGATCCCTCCCCCCAGCTTTTCAGAGAGAACTGGGATTCTCATGTGCAGCAGAACAGTGACCAGCTCCAGCCCTTCTCTCCGAGCTTAGAGGTCAGGAGGAAAGGCAAGGTTTCGCCCTGATCCCATCCACCCCCTGGCGGAATCACCTATCACAAGCCTGAATGACTTTAAAGGTTTTCCCATGAAGTCGGAAACGATTTGTACTTATTGCTTCAACAAACCCTAACTCCTGTCAGCTACGTGTGACACATTCGAACTTTGTGGACACACAGAATAATTTTTTTTAAAAGGGACAACTCAAGATAGGTTAAAAATAATACATACAATGAAGGCATGAAAGAGACAAGATTCAGCAAGATCTCACTGTTTCCTCACTGTACAGTGGTACCTCGGGTTAAGTACTTAATTCGTTCCGGAGGTCCGTTCTTAACCTGAAGCACCACTTTAGCTAATGGGGCCTCCTGCTGCTGCCACGCCGCCGGAGCCCGATTTCTGTTCTCATCCTGAAGCAAAGTTCTTAACCTGAAGCACTATTTCTGGGTTAGCGGAGTCTGTAACCTGAAGCGTATGTAACCCGAGGTATCACTGTGATAGGAAACATTCTACCTCTACAGCTCTTCTCAAGAGGAGCGGCTGCTGTGTGTGTATCTAAGTGCATGCATTTTGTCAAAGCAACAGATACAATCACTTTCAGAAATGGCAAACTAGGGAATATCGATCACGTGGATTGGAATGCAAATAGCCCATTCATGGTATTTCGGTGTGCCCTAAAAAGCAATGTGGTGTCCTGTATAAGGAACAGGTTATGTGACTCACAGCTCAGTTGGTTAGAACTTGGGGCTGATAACGCCGAGGTTGCAGGTTCGGTCCCCTTATGGGACAGATGCATATCCCTGCATTGCAGGGGGTTGGCCTAGATGATCCTCAGGGGTCCCTTTCAACTGTACTATTCTAGGATTGTATGATATAGGTGTCTAAACGCACGACAGTTCGCCAGATTTCTAAAAGCCGTTGATTAGCTATATTTGAGCGGCACATGGTGGAAAGCCCCTCTGTGACTAATAGAGGAAACTCATCTGAATAATTAAAAAATAGAGGGTGAGAACTCAGCACGTATCTCAGACTCCAGATCACCTACAGCAGATTCATTACTCTGGATGGTCATTTGGGGCAGTAACAAGGGGAGTGGAGGCAGGGGTAAAAGCGCATCCACACAGCAACTGTTTTCTTTGCCGCACAAATCTGGGGGGTATTCATTCTGGGATTCTTAATACTGTAGTGTGCGGTGTTTCTAAACCACTGTGCTTTCCAAGAAAGAAGAAAGAAGAAGAAGAAGAAGAAGAAGAAGAAGAAGAAGAAGAAGAAAACCCCAAAGGCAAAATCCAGGGTTTAACAAAAGCCAGGGGCACTTGGCAATGTGTCCCCGAGCATGTCTGCAGAAACCCACCGTCGCCTGTGCACAAAGCCCGGCCTGTCGCCAGGCACTCCTCGCGCCCAAGCATGGTTTACTCCCAGGTAAGTGCACCCAGGGGACTCCGCGCGCGCGCGCGCACCCACACCCACACACCCTCCAGGCTCCAGCACCGCGCCTAGGCGCACGACTTGTGCAGGCCGACGGAGATCCCCAAGGACTCCCGGCCCACACCAACGCCGCCGCGCCCGCGCACGCCCAGGCCCCCTTCCCGTTCCCCGGGAGCCCAAGAGAGCCGCCCCTTCGTGGAAAGGGAGCCGCCGAGATGCGTCCCCAGCCGGGAGAGGCGGCAGCAGCAGGGAGGCGCCTCGCTTACCTTCACGGGCGAGCAGGCGGCGGCGGCTGCAGCCATGTTGCTCGGGGAGGAGAAGCGGTGGAGAGGAGGGCGGTCCCTGGCCAGGCGCGCCCACCGGCTCTCCGCCCCCGGCAGGAAGCGAAGCGCAAAGCGCGGGGATCCCGCCCAGCCAAGGGGTTCCCGTTTGTCGCTCCAGTTCCTTTCCCTTCCCCTTTTTATTTCAGTTAATACGTTTATTTAGTTAGTTCGTTTTTCAAATTAGAATTTTACAACCGCATAATCCAACGTAGAACTTAAAATCAAGATTCCAGAGAATCTCCTGGATTCCCCCCCCTCCCCTTTGTGGGTCCTATTATCAATCATTTCCTCCTAATCATCCAAATCTTTTACGTCTCCAAAATTCGCCATTCAACTACAAGTGTCATTTGTCGCTGCAGTTTCCTAGGCAGTTCACGGAATCTAGGCGGAAACCTTGGGAAGAAGCCAGGTTTAAAAAAACACACCCGAGCAAGCCGACCGCAGCGATCATTGCTGGCCGTGATTGTGATCCACACAATGGATCCGGCTGTGGCGCGTTAATTGCGCAAAGCGCGGCGGGGGCACCCCAAGTCAGCCATTTATTCTTTGATTGGTATGCCGCTTTCTCTCTCTGTCTCTTCCTCTCTCTCACACACACAAACAAACAAACAAACAAACAAACTGCATCATGCTGGAAGCAGCTTGCAACTCAGATAAACGGGGGGCACTTCCAACAAACACCACAGAAGCAATTTCTTAATAAGTGAGCGAAACAAGAAAACAACAAGTTCATAATAACATGGCAAAACTTTAGCAAGTATAAGAACAGGAGAAAAAAACCCCCAGCATATTCCAATATAGCAAGATTATAGGCAGCGTCCATAGCAAAAATAACAAGGGAGCTGATAACAAGGTGCTGAAAACGCCAAGGATTGGGACCCCGTAGGGGCCACCTGCATATTCCTGCATTGCAAGGGGTTGGGCTACGTGACCCCAGAGGCAGGGCCATCTTTAGCATATGCGTAGCCGGGGTGCAAAGATCTGCCCAGTGCCCCCCCAATTTAGTTTAAAGGTAAAGGGACCCCTGACCATTAGGTCCAGTCGTGGCCGACTCCGGGGTTGCGGCGCTCATCTCGCTTTACTGGCCGAGGGAGCCAGCATACAGCTTCTGGGTCATGTGGGCGGCATGACTAAGCCGCTTCTGGCGAACCAGAGCAGCGCACGGAAACGTCGTTTACCTTCCCCGCCAGGGTGGTACCTATTTATCTACTTGCACTTTGACGCGCTTTCAAACTGCTAGGTTGGCAGGAGCAGGGACCGAGCAACGGGAGCTCACCCTGTCGCAGGGATTCGAACCGCCGACCTTCTGATCGGCAAGTCCTAGGCTCTGTGGTTTAACCCACAGTGCCACCTGCGTCCCTTAAAATTTTAGTTTAGCTGCCCCCAAATTATTGAGCTTTTTTTGGGGGGGGGGAATCGCTCACATGTAACAATGACGCAGCGGAAGAAACTGCTTTTGTTTCCTGACTCTTTGGGAATATTTGGCGCTATGGAGTAAAAGAGTGACAGAGGAGGGGGGCGGGGCCCTTCATGCCATTGCTTTTCACAGCCACCGATCGAGAGGGACTGGTATACAGTAGGTATACATTTGGCGCCCCCCAGAATTTGGTGCCCAGGTGCCATGCACCCCTTGCACCCCCAGGTAAAGACGACACTGCCCGGAGGTCCCTTCCAATTCTAGGATTCTCAGTTTCACTTTAATCCTAGAAAAATCCCTCCATGGTGTTGCTCACAGTCTCCCTGGGGCAGCAGCTTCTTATAAGGCTTCCAAGGGCGGTGGCGGTGGCAAGGGGGGGTAAGCTGGAAATGCCCCTCCAGGATGAACAGCAGCCCATAATGACAATAATAAACAGTTTACAGTTATACCGAAATTTAAATAACTGCTAACCCCAATTAAGCATTTAACTAACACCAACCCGAAACAAAACAGAGGAACCAAAATTAGGAGCGTTTAAAACATTTTAGCCAGTTGCCCCAACCCAAGTGTTGTTCCAGCAGTGTCCCTCTGGCCTCCCAGGTGCCTTTTAGCTGTCCAGGGTGAGTGTGGGCCCGCCCCCTAGGCCAGGTGGAAAGGGGCATTGCAACAGGGAGCAGGGATTCCTTTCAGCACTCACAGCAGCAGCAAATTGTGATCGCATGCAATTCTTTTCAGTAGTAGTACAGTGGTACCTCGGGTTACATACGCTTCAGGTTACATTCGCTTCAGGTTACAGACTCCGCTAGCCCAGGAATAGTACCTCGGGTTAAGAACTTTGCTTCAGGATGAGAACAGAAATTGTGCTCCAGCGGCGCAACAGCAGCAGGAGGCCCCATTAGCAAAAGTGGTGCTTCAGGTTAAGAACAGTTTCAGGTTAAGAACAGACCTCCGGAACGAATTAAGTACTTAACCCGAGGTACCACTGTAATAGCAATAGTGTTTGGATCCAGGGCAAATGCTTAAAAACACAATGCACAAGGCTAAAGCTGGTTCCTGGTAGGTGAGAATCGTAGCTCTGTGAAGTATAAACTACGGTTCCGAGGATTCTTTGGTAGAACCAATTTACAGTGGTACCTTGGTTTGCAACTGTTTTGGATTACAACAGTTTTGGATTACAACCACGTCAAACCCGGAAGTGCGTGTCCCTTTTTTTGGATTACAACCCTTTTTTGGGGGGGATTACAACCCATTTTTTTGGGGGGGGAGGCCGAATTGGCGAAAGTGCACTTTGGGTTACAACCTGTTTTGGTTTACAACCGGACCTCCCGAATGGATTATGGTTGTAAACCAAGGTACCACTATACTATAAACATATGGCATAGATGTGGCCTAAGTTTTGGGACACCCTAAACATAGCTGTCAACTGTCCCTTATTTGGCGGGAAACTCCCTTATCCCAGCACCGTTTCCTGCTGCTGTCCCTTATTGATGATGTCCCTTAAATTTCCTGGGTTTCAAAGGAAGCAGCTCCTCTCCCTCCCTCCCTCCCTGCCGGCCAGGGAGGAGGGAGGCTCCAACTGTGTTGCTTGGCTGCGTTGCTCACCCAATAAGGAGTCTAAGAACGACTGGGGGGTGGAGCTTGCATGCCTTGTGCCGATCAAATCAGCCGTGTTGCCTGGGGACTCGCCTTTGCTCAGCACTTCCCAGCGGAGAGGTGACGGTGGTTTTCCTTGCTGCATCCCCTTTGCTGGGTTGCTGCACTGTGGGAACCACCGCTTGAGGCTTCGTTTGGCTGCTGTCTGGGCTTTCTGCCTTTGGCTCTGAGGGACTCAGAAGTTGAACATACCTGTGCTCGGAATCGGATGGATACGTCATCGACGGCCCACTCACCCTTGCCAGGGAAAAGGTCTGTCTGGAGCGGGGGCACATGGTGGGGGAAAAGGAAAGGAGCTGGTTGAGTACAATGGCGGGCAGCGATCTCGTGGGAGTGGGGCTTTTGGATTTGTTTTGGAGGCTCCTTCGATTGACTGTTATGGGGGAAAGGAAAGGAGTTGGTTGACTAAAATCCCTTATTTTGGCTGCTGATCCCTTATTTTCTAGGCTGCTGGTCCCTTATTTTCAAATCTGTAAGTTGACAGCTATGACCCTAAATGTCACATCCAGGCCACTGGGAGACTAGGAGATGTGTTGTGTTGTCATGCCTTCTGTTGTACACACAAACACATTAGGAGGAGGGGGCTACATATCCCCAGATAACCTGTGGGCTTTCACACATACACTGCTACCCCTGGGACACTCACCTAAAATTGCATCTGGCTTAATGCTTCATTTTACATTAGTCCCTGTCTTGTGTTATGAGCTCATGCCAAGGATTGGCAAGACATGTACAAATGAGTAAAGGACTGCAGGTTTGCACCCCCTCCTTTCCCTCTCTCTAAATAATAATAATAATAATAATAATAATAATTAACATATATTTATACCCTGCCCAACTGGCTGGGTTTCCCCAGCCACTCTGGGTGGCTCCCAACAGAATATTAAAAACATGATAAAACATCAAACTTCCCTAATCAGGGCTGCCTTCAGATGTCTTCTAAATGTCAGGTAGTTGTTTATTTCATTGACATCTGGTGGGAGGGTGTTCCACAGGGCAGGTGCCACCACCAAGAAGTCCCTCTGCCTGCTTCCCTGTAACTTGGCTTCTTGCAGTGAGGGAACTGCCAGAAGGCCCTCAGAGCTGGACCTCAGTGTCTGAGCTGAAAAATGGGGATGGAGACGCTCCTTCAGGTCTACTGGGCTGAGGCCATTTAGGGCTCCCTCAAATAGATACATTTATAGATACAAAAGAGATGGACCAAACTCTCTCGTTGGTTTCAGTACTGTATTGTTGACGAGGCTTCCCTGACAGTTGATGCTTGCATTGGAGATAGCATTCCATTTGAACACCTCTTCCTCAAAAGGGCCTCAAAATGCATCCCCAATAACTGAGGTACTTCCAGACCAGTCAGAAAGTTGAGAGACACAATATTATTTAAGGTAAAGGGATCCCTGACCATTAGGTCCAGTCGTGGCCGACTCTGGGGTTGCGGCGTTCATCTCGCTTTATTGGCAGAGGGAGCTGGCATACATGTGGCCAGCATGACTAAGCCGCTTCTGGCAAACCAGAGCAGCACATGGAAACGCCGTTTACCTTCCCACTGGAGTGGTACCTATTTATCTACTTGCACTTTGAGGTGCTTTCGAACTACTAGGTGGGCAGGAGCTGGGACCGAGCAACGGGAGCTCACCCCGTTGCGGGGATTCGATAGCATTCAATATTATTTACAAGAGCTATAAATTAACACAAATGAATATCCTGAAGGTGGCAGCACATTCACATGTTACCAGGCTTCTAAACGAAAGCCCAGCAGCTATTTGCCATAAAATTTGTTAGCTGCATCTTAGCATATTAGTCAATACTATCTCCTCCCGAAATAAAAAAACTTGTAAGAAAAATCCTATCTTTGCCCAGCATCTATAATGCTATAATGTTAAGTCCTCTATACTTTTTCGGGATATGTAAGATTTATATTTTGACAGTAAGGAACCAGATGTAACTGCAGTGGTACCTTGGGTTAAGTACTTAATTCGTTCCGGAGGTCCGTTCTTAACCTGAAACTGTTCTTAACCTGAAGCA